CACATATTATATCAGTATCTCCATTTCAGCTTTCATAAACAAAATAAAAATAAAAAAATAAAACCAGAGTGTCTGTCATTTGATTTTAGGAAAGAAAATATTTTGGAGGAAGAAGACAACCACAATAAATTATACAGCCAAAGGATTGCTAGTCTCTTTAAAATTTCTTACTCTGATAAGCTAGCAATTTGCTTGTCATTCTATAAATTTTCCCCCAATTTGGAACAGTACATATATATACATATATGTGTGTAAGTATGTGTATATGTATGTATATATATATATATGTATGTGAGTATGTATATATTTATATATACACATAAGTATGTATGTAGGGAATAATAACCATAAGCCTGCAAGGAAGACCAGTTAATACTGCTATTATTCAAATTTTTGCACCAACCACTAATGCCAGGTATAGAAATTGAAGATTTTTACCAAATTCTGGTGCCTGAAATCAATCAAATACGCAATCAAGACAATCAAGATGCATTGCTAATTATTGGAGATTGGAATGTGATAGTTGGAAACAAAGAAGGAAAAGGAGTTGGATAATTGACCTTAGTGGTAGAAATGACTCTGGAGATTGCAGGATAGAATTCTGCAATACCAATGTCTTCCTCATTGGAAATAACTCTTATCAATGACATAAATGGTGATGATATACATGGACCTCATTACATGGACTGCACGGGAATCAAATAGACTACATCTGTGGAAAGAGATGATGGAGAAGCTCAGTATCATCAGTTAGAAAAAGGGCAGGGGCTGACTGCAGAACAGAAAATCAATTGATCATATGCGATTTCAAATTGAAGTTGAAAAAAATTAAAACAAGTCTGTGATTACAGACTTTACAACCCTGAGACCAGAATAACTTGGTGACCAGTACCATTGTTGACCACTTTGAAAGGGATCACAGTAGGATGTCCTGGATAAAGTGGGAGAAAATGTAGAACAGAACACAAAATAGTGAAAACACCAGCCTTACTGGTCTTATAGAGACTGGTGTAAAGTCTGAGACTATTGCCATTAGACACCCTTCAAGCCTGAAACTGAAAGCAACCCTGTGGTTCAACTTTCAGCTAAACAATAGAAAGGCCTAAAGGTGAACAATATCACTAGGGAGGTGTGCACTTATTAGAACAATCAACCACAGGAGATTAAAAGGGCAGCATTTGCCTAAGGATAAAGCTAAGGCGGCAGAAAGGGATAGGAAAGAAAAAGGAAGGGAAATGATAAACCCAAGGAAGAAGTGAGAAGAGTACTGTTACATTGTGGGGATTGCAATGAATGTCACAAAACAAAATGTGTATGAATTTTTGAGTGGAAACCATTTGCTCTATAAAACTTTCACCCTAATCACATTTTTTTTTAAAAAAGAATAAAAACAAGTCCACAAACACCAAAGTATGACCTTGAGTATATCCCACCTGAATGTAGAGATCATTTCGAGAATAGATGTGACACATGAAAAGGTCATTAAAAAGGCAAAAAAAAAAAAAAAGATTAAAAAATATATAAAAGAGACTCTGAAATTTGCTCCTAAAGATAGACTAGCAAGCAAAAGAGAGAAATGATGAAATAAAAGAACTGAGCAGAAGATTTCACAGGGCTGCTGGGGAAGAAAAAGTAAAGTATTATAAAGAAACATGAAAAGACGTAGAGTTAGAGAATAAAAAGGGAAGAATGATCTTGGCAATTCTCAAGCTGAATAAACAGAAGACAAAATTCAAGCTTGGAGTTGCAATACTGAAGGGTTCTATGGACAAAACATTGAACAATGCAAAAGTATCAAAAGAAGATGGAAGGACTACACAGAATCACTGTACCAAAAAGAATTGGTCAATATTCAACCATTTCAGGGGGTAGCATATGATGAAGAACTGATGATACTGAAGAAGAACTCAAAGCAGCACTGGAGGCTTTAGCAAAAAATACAACTCCAGGAATTGACACAAAACCAACTGAGATGTTTCAACAAATGGATGCAATTCTGGAGGCACTTAATTTGTGTATGTTAAGAAATTTAGAAGACAACTACTTGGCAAACCGACTGGAAGAGATTCATATTCATGCCTATTCCAAAGAAAGGCAATCCAAGAGAATTTGGAAATTATCAAACAATATCAATAATATCACATGCAAGTAAAATTTTGCTGAAGATAATTAAAAAATGATTTTGGCTGTGCATTGAACAGGAGCTGCCAGAAATTCAAGCTGGACTCAGAAGAGGATGTGGAACAAGGGATATCATTGTTGATGTCAAATGGATCTTGACTGAAAGCAGAGAATACCATAAAGATGTTTACCTGTGCTTTATTGACTATGCAATGGCATCAACTGTGTGGCTCATAAAAAATTATTGATAACATTGCAAGGAATGGGAATTCCAAAACACTTGATTGTGTTTATGCTGAACCTGTACATAGACCAAGAGGAAATCATTTAAACAGAACAAGGGGATACTGTAAATTTTAAAATCAGGAAATGTTTATGTCAGGATTATATTCTTTCATCACAGTTATTTAACTTGTATGCTGAGCAAAAAATCCAGGAAGCTGGACTATATGAAGAGGAACATGGCATAGCATTAGAAGAACCCTCACTAACAACCTGTGGTGTACAGATAGCACAATATTTGCTGAAATTGAAGGGGTCTTGAAGTACTTACTGATGAGGATCAAAGACTACATACAGCCTTCAGTATGGATTACACCTCAACATAAAGAAAATAAAAATCCTCACAACTGGACCAATAATGAAAATCATGATACATGGAGAAAAGATGGAAGTTGTCCAGGATTTAGTTTTACTTGGATCCACAATCAATACCCATGGTAGCAGCATTCAAGAAATCAAACAACATATTTCATTGTGCACATTTGATGCACAGGACCTCTTTCTAGTGTTAAAAACAAAGATGCCACTTTGAGGACTAAGGTGCTCTTAACCCAACCCACAGTATTTTCAGTCACTGCCTATCCTTGCAAAAGGTGGACAACAAATAAAGAAGACTGAAGAACTGATGCTTTTGAATGATGGTGTTGGCAAAGAATATTGAATATACCATGTAGTGCCAGAAGAATGAACAAATCTGTTTTGGAAGCAGTATAGCCAGAATGCTCCTTAGAAGCAAGGATGGTGACACTTCATCTCACATGCTTTAGCAATGTTATCAGGGGGCACAAATCCCTCGAGAAGGACATTGTCTTAGGCTAGGCCCTCTAAGAAAGCAAAAAGCAAAACCAGTAAAGCTTATATATATATATAGAGAGAGAAAGGGAGAGATAAATTTATCTTAGGAAAATGGCTTACACAGTTATAGAGGCTGGCAAGTCCCAAGCTGCTGGATCAAATGTCAAGCTGGAGGCTTTTCCCAACTCACACAGCTGGAGGGGCTCATGAGCTCAAGATTGGCAGACAGTATAACAGGCTGCTGACCTTGGCAGATGATGAATCCAAGATCAGCAGGCAAAATGGTGGAATGTTGGCTCACAGGACAGTTGTAGGCAGCACAACAGAATCCAGATCCACAGAAGGTTCCTGAATTTTTCCATGAGGTTCATTTATATATTGGAAGCAGACCACACCCTTAAGGAAACTCCCTTTCAACTGATTGGCTGTTCAAAGCATATACAACAGATCTCATTATGGGAATAACCACATCACAACTGCTTAAACCGCTCAGAATCATGGACCAGCCAAGTTGACATACAACCCCAACTATCACAGACATCATGCTTAGCAATGTAGAGAGTCAGTGACAAAGAGGAAACATTTAAAAGATCGATTGACTCAGTGGCTACAATAATGGGATCAAACATAGCAAGGATTGTGGGGATGGTGCAGGACCAAGCAGTGTTTTGTTTTATTGTACTTAGGGTCACTATAGGAGCTCTGGTGGCATAGTGCTTAAGGCATTTGACTGCTAACCAGAAGGCTGGCAGTTCAAACCCACTGGCCACTCCTCAGAAGGAAGATGGGGCAATCTACTTCCATAGTGATACTGCCTTGGAAACCCAAGGATGGGTCGCTATGAGTCAAAATTGACTTGACGGAATATTATAACAACAGGGTCATTATGTGCCAGAACCAACTTGAAGGCACTTAATAACATATGTGTGTATATATTATACACCTATCCTCAATGATGGGAGTTCTGGTAGCATAGTGCCTAACGCATTTGACTGCTAACCCACCAACCACTCCTCGGAAGGAAGGTTGGGCAATCTACTTCAGCAGTGATACCACCTCAGAAACCCAAGGAGTCGCTATGAGTCAGATCCGACTCAATGGCAGTGAGTTTGGTTTTTGTTTTATGGTATCCTCAATGATGAGAAATTTTTATTCTCTGAGGATGGATTTTATCTGGAGATAATCAAAAACAATTCAAAGTAAGATGGTGGATGAGGTAAGTGGGCAATACTAATTTGAAGTAAAAACGTTTTTACTAAAAAGAGTGAAATAAAAGTTTTAACATGCAATAACCAAATTTGACATTTTCTTTATTTAGCAAGGATTCAGATGTCTTTAGAATCAAATTCCATTATTATGTTGGTCTCCTCCTACCCCCAAAATGTATTTATCTATCTTTATTAATGAGGGCAATAAGTTGGAAATACAGACTGGAAATGTTTGTATATGGACCTTATACAGTTTTCTAGAGGCAATGCTAGTTACAATAATGCTAGAAATATTGTAAAAAGAACATTCTCAGATATAATGCTATATGAATGTAGACTTTTAGTCATCCAGAAAGTCCTATCTCCTTCATATGCAGGTCATCAGAAGAACTTTTTCCTTTTAGACTTGACTGAAATTCAGTTTTCCTTCATTATCACATTGTGGGAATAAAAATTAATAATTTACACACTTGAAGAGTGTTTGATCCATTTTGCAGCATGCACATGAACTTTCTCTGTTCTCAGTATTGTCTCTTTAGGCTTAAGCAGAGGAATTCTCTTACCCACTGCTGCCATCTTCTGGTTTTGTGACAGTTAGATTTTAGAAAAAGCAGTGCATAAAGCTCCAGTCAAAATGATGCAAAATGCAAGTATCATTAATAAGTAGTTTTGTAGACCCTGCATAAGAAACATAATAACTTTAATTAAAAAACAATTAAATATACAAAATTCATAGACTCAAAATTGCTGGGAACCTTACAGATCATCTGATCTAACTACCTGTAGTCTTTTTTTTTTTTTTTTTTTCGCTACCCCTCCAGGTAATCTTGCAAACTGTCCCTGGAAACTCACAAGATCCTTACTAGTTCACCTATCCAATAAATACATGTGGACACCCTCTATGTACTAACACGTGCTGGGTTAAAATGATGAGCAAAAGTGGGCATGGATTATGTCCTTCTGCAGCTAACCTTCAGAGAGACAAGAATTAAACAAATAATCTAAGAATGTTACAAAGTGAGAGGGATGCTAATAAGCAAAGGACCATAGATGTTTGAGAGTATGTTACAAAGAAACATTAAGTAGGTTGGTTTGAGGGATGGGGGCTGAGCTTCTAAGTATTAACAAATCAGGCAAGAGAAATAGGGTAGCAATTAGAGATACTAGGTAGGAGGAATTTTATGTGCAAAGCCTTTTTTTGTAAGAGAAAGCATGGTAATTCCCAGGGACTGTACAAAGGCCAGTGTGACTGCAGCAATCAGAGTGAGGCAGAGTAAAATGAGGTTGAAGGGCCATGGGCCGGAACATACTGGGATCTTACAGGCCATAATATGGCTCATGATTTTTTGTTTGTTTGTTTTTTTCTTTTTTACAAGTGAAGACCTTAAAGAAAAGGCTAGCTGGGTGTGATGAAAATACCAGATCTGAGTTTTGTAGAGCCCTCACTCTTTTGCCTGTGAACTGAGTGGATGCAAGGAAACCAAAGGAGGAAACTACAATTCTCCAGGGGGATGCACGGTGAAGTGCAGGTGAAGAGATGAGACAGGTTTAATGAATGAGGAAGAAACAGAGAGAAGTATCAAGAATAACTAAATCTGACTTGCCCTGCTATGTGTGAGAGCCTTGGCCCTAAAATGGAAAACACTGAGGACCATTTTTCAATTCAGCCCAGTTCATTTTTAAATTAACAAGGAAATATCTCCCTGTTTTCAGAAATATTTCATTCCCTTCAATTTTATCTCTAGGAATACAGACAGATCACTTCTAGTATCTCTTCCACAAGATAAGCCCTGAAATGTTGAAAAGTAGCTATATCCCTAGAGGTATCTCTTTTCCTGGTCGGTATTCCAGCTCCTTTGATCAGTTTTCATATGGAATGGTTTCCAGTTCCTTCAGTGTCTTGTTTGCAGGTTTGTCTGTATATTTTTTTAAATATAGACTCCATTACTTGTTACTCTAAGCAAGAACTCTTGGTGGTGCAATGGTTAAGTGCTTGACTGTGAACCAAAATTTGGCAGTTCAAATTTACCCCATTGCTCTGAGGGAGCCAGATCTGGGGATCTGGAGATCCATTTCCATAAAGATTACAGTCTAGACAAGCCTATGGTGCAATTCTACTCTGTCACATTGTGTCTATAGTTTTCAAGGCTGACCTTTCAGAAACAGATTGCCAGGCTTGTCACCCTGAACATATCAAGGTAGGTTCAAACCTCTAACCTTTCAACTAAGTGTGTTAATTTGCCTCTGTGTGATAAGCAAAGATAAGTCTTAGTACGTTATGTTGGGGCCAGGTAAATTGATTAGCTGATGCACTTTGAGCCTCCGCACCACAGGTTCAAATCTAATCACATGTTCCACATCTGAAAGTTAGTATCACAAAGCTCAAACAAACAAAAAAACCAAACTCGCTGCCCGTGGAGTCGGTCCCCACTCATAGTGACCCCTCCTTGGGTTTCTGAGGTGATATCTCTATGGAGTAGATTGCCCAATCTTCCTTCCGAGGACTGGCTGGTGGGTTTGAACTGCTAACCTTCCAGTTAGCAGTTAAATGCCTTACGCACTGCGCCACCAGGGCTCCCATCACAAAGCTCAGAGCAGCTTATTTGAACTCTCTCTTCTCTCTCGTACTTTAATCCTGCAGTAAGACTTTAGGTTTCCTAACATGTATTTAGTTTTTAAGACTGCATCTTTTCCATATATTCTAGTACTGTTGCAAAGTAGGCACTCAAGAAATATTTGTTCATAGAATGAATATACTCAGCTGTTTTCCAAATGTACATTGTGAATCAGTCAATTGATGTACTTATTTATGTAAGAAAAAGACAATATACTAGGCTTCAGTTATTAGCACTTTATGACCTAATTATGTGAATACTTTGCTATTCTATTTTATTATCTGTGTAGACAGATGAATAATGTTCTCAGGAAATAAAATATTTTTTTCCACTTTAAGGATAAAAATCTGCTAGAACTGTTTAGTCTCATAGCTGAGTGAGCTCTAGATTACTCTAGAGAGAAAGATTGATTATGTTTGGGCAAGAGAAATTGTTTTCCTTTGTCAAAGATAACAGTTAACTTTTGGAAAGATTATGATAACCTTTTCCCTGAAGCAAAACATTTTTAATTTGGATTTTTGAAGCAGCTACTAAGATGATATAGATCATTTCATTCTTCATTTGGGAGTAGCTACTGACCTATAAATTTTTGTGGTAATAACTCCTTGTGTTGGTGACATATTGACTAAAGTGCGATGCATATAATTTATAAGTAGCTTAAACTAAATGTAAAATTCTAAAACTTCCCAAAGAGTGACAGATACCAGATATCAAGAACATCAACAGTGTAATGAACCCAACTGATGCATTGATGGCATTAAAATTAAACAATGTCAGTAAGCTCTTTAATACAAAATGTGTCCATGTCTCTGCCTAGTTCCTACTGCTATGAATTGTACACTTGGAGGCCTGCTTCAAGACACGGAACTGATAGGATCTAAAACTCATAAAGATAAAGGTTTTGCTGTTGTTTCCTTCTTTAGAGCTTAGTTAGAGGGTTTTGTTTTGTTCCTAAAAAAAAAATATTTAAAAAATGTTCTGATAGGATTTTGGATTTAGTGTTTAGTTTATGACTCTTAAACTTGTTGGAATGTAAAGTATTTAAAGCTTTCCTTTAATCAGCTCTCAAGAGGCAATTAGGTATCTGTGCTGAATGATAAATACCTCTGGATATTCCTTAAGTTGTTTGTAGATAGACTTGTAAGTTGGTTATTTTTTTTTACTCTAGAAAGGTCAATAATTTATTCTTTGCTTTCACCTCAGCCCTCTCTCTCAATACTTGTGATTGTATCAGAGACAATTTTTCCAAAATAGAAAAGAGGAGATAAGCAATTCTAGTGTTTAAAAGTCTTTATTTTATAAGGAAACTGCTCGAACTTAAATTACATGTTTTAGGAATATGGGGCAATTTAGACTGTCATGTTTTATTTTGTTTAATTTTGGGGGTCTATATTTACTTAGTCAAACTTTAGAACCTACTCTCAGTGTTCCAAAAGTGACTTCTCTAGGATTTTATAGGATTCACACTGAATGTGAATGGTAGAACTGCCCTGGGCTTAATAGTGCACAATCCATCTGTCACTATGAATAAAACACTATTACAAAATACATTTCACGTATACTCCTCAAGTGAAGACTTTTTCCACCAATAAAAAAATATGGAAAATACTTTGTAACAATTTTTAATGAAAATATACATGTATACATACATATTTCATAGAACTATCTGATGAATGTAATTAAAAATTATCATCATCCCTAGATATGGGGTTTTTAGGGGAGTAAGAAGTTTTGGGATGTTGTAGTTGTCACCTGCTACCATGATGTTTTCTTATAAAGCTGTTGGCTTGATAAAAAGGCCTTTGGGAAGCAAGAAGACCATTAGAAAAATCTATTCCATAATTTTGTTTGCCTCAGGGATATTTTAACCTTTGGGATAAAATAATCTTTTGTCTTGCTTATCTTATACCTTGCTTGGGAGCTCTGGTGGCGTAGTACCTAAGGCATTTGACAAAATACCAGAAGGCTGGCAGTTCAAACCCACCATCCACTCCTCGGAAGGAAGGTTGGGCAATCTACTTCCAGAGATACTGCCTTGGAAACCCAAGGAGAGGTCACTATGAATCGGATCCAACTCGATGGCAGTGAGTTTACTTTTACAATAAACAAATTTCACTGTGTCATATTTTATTGAATTATTTGACTAAAATCAGTTAATGAAAATTAAAGTCAACTAAAGAATTTTTTTTTTAAAACTAGTGGGTAGGGAGAAACATGGTGTTTCATAATCATCATAAACCAAAACAACAAAATCAGTTGCTGTGCAGTCAATTCTGACTTACGGCAACATATATGCACGGTGTAGAACTGCTCCATAGGGTTTTCAAGGTTGTGACATTTTGGAAGCAAATCATCAGGTTTGTCTTCCAAGGTTTGAAATGACAGCCTTTTGTTTTCCATTTGTGCTACCCAGGGATTCCAACAATTAGCATAGCTCTAGTATTTTCTTTCCTAATTAGAGATAGTAACATTTTGAACATGAGGCCTATCAAATCTATGTGTTGTCTGCTCCTAGCTTAGGAGTCACATGCAGTATTCAGAAAATAAATAATATTAAATAAACATCATATTAAAAATCCATCTGCCTGGATTTACTCTATTTTCTAGATTTGCCCTTTCTTGTACATACCTGTATTTCCTTAAACATGAAGACACCCCACATTGCAGCTATAAATCCTGGACCCTTAAAGAAAAATAAAAATGTTAACTAAACTGTATGTTTTTCTATGAATACACTCTATATAAATATAGTAAATTGAAAGTTGACCTTTTAAGTAGCTTGCTATTCTAAAAGCAATATAACAATATTTTCAAGCAAAAGCACTCATAATCTTAACCTAACTCAACATTAACTATCACATTAAATAACATTAAGTAAAAAAATAAATAAAAAAAAAGACTTTTCTTCATTTTTCTTTATGCTCTCCAGTTTTATTATTTTGATGGTGCTATAATATTTTAAAAACTAGAAAAGGCTTTTCCTTAATGTGATATATTTATAATAAACTATATTTTAATGATGAGATAGCTTATTTTTTTCTATCAATCTAATTAGTTTCTTGTTGTTGTTGTTGTTGTTGTTATTTGCCGTCGAGTCAGCCCCGACTCATAGCGACCCCTCCTTGGGTTTCCGAGGCAGTATCACTACGGAAGTAGGATTGCCCAACCTTTCTTCCAAGGAGTGGCTGGTGGGTTTGAACCGCCAGCCTTCTGGTTAGCAGTCAAGTGCCTTAGCACTATGCTACCAGAGCTCCCAATTAGTTTCTTAGGATACTCAAAATGAAATTAATAAGAAAAAAGGATATGCGTAAACTTTTAGCTTTCTTTGGTATGAGATAATCTCATAACCGAATACATTTTAGTATGTTCTTTTGGGCCTGATAATTAATGTGTGCATATGGAAGTAGCACATGCACTTTATTCATTTGTTTCCCTTGACAGATGTTACCACAGAGTAATCAACTATGTCTTACATTACAAACCAATCAATATTAAAGGTCCTATTCTGGGAAGATAGAAAAACCATGCAAAGCAAAACAATCATCACAGGGTTTAGTGGGTTAAAACAAACACAAGCATGAAACAATATAGGACAAAGGAAATGAGAAAAAAATGAGATGAGGAAAATGAGTGATTCTATAATTTGAAAATGATGAGCTACTCAAGCTGAGTGTTATGTATTTATATATATGTATTTTTAGCTGAGAAGGAAAAGAAAATTGAATTTGGATTGATCTTGGCCTTTGCAGAGAAGGTATATTATATCAACATTTTTATGATTCTTCCTCAAACTCTGCATGAACTGTGGAAGAGTTTCAAATCAATAATTCCAAAATGTTTTTTTCCCATTTCATTATTCCAACTGTCTAAATGACTGGGTCAACAAAGTTTGATTTCACTCCTGGCATATAAGTGAAGCAATAAAAATATATTAGCTCTCTGTTTATCAACATCTGGAAAAGTCAACACCAAAAGAGCCAGACAAATAGTCAAAGGAACTGCCTTTTACCATGACAGAGTGTCCTAAGCCTCAAAGTCTAAATCAAATGAGAAGCAGCTGGATCTTTCAGGAAACCCCATCCTGATTTACAAAGAAATGACAGGAAACAATAAAAAAGAAGATATAATTACCATCATGCTAATCTCTCATAACATTTTATCCTCTGAAATCTGAAAATTCATCTCCCTTTTCATAGTGCATGGTAGAAAATAATACTAAAAAGTATCATTGGCCTTTAAAGATGTTCGTCTGATAATTTTCTAATTTTCAGTTTAGAAAGAATCTACGAGTTATTGCAAGGAGTAAAATGGTGGTGATGCTTTTCCCAAAGTAATGCAAGCATAGGTCAAAGTGGTACAGACTCTTTGATTCAGACTTTGTCCTAAGTCTTTATCAAAATCCAAGGTAAGAAACAGTCATGCAACAACCATTTGTGTATTATAAAAATTTGTGAAGAATATAATTTATTTGCTATCCTCTGACTGCTGCCCTTTATCCTCTGTGGTCCTCTATCTTCCGTTCAATGACCTTATATGATAAATTCTGTTAAGAATTGGTATTTTCTGAGGAAATAACATACTACCAGTAAATAAGAATTAGCTGTTTCATCATATTACCCTTTGGAAGCAGCAAGCAACATTTAATGTTTAATCATAGTAACTGTTCTCTTTTTGCGCTATTTGCTTCCTTCCTCTTTCTTGCCATGACTTCCACTGTCTGCGTTTGTATTCTTATTAGTCTCGTGTAACCTAATTCTTCATGTACATTTTACTTTAAATTGCCTCAAGATCTTTCTGGAGAATCTATATTTGTTCAAAGATATAATAAATAAAAGAATAAATTACTACAACATGATAGATAAGGCTTAAATATGGCACAAGAGTTCATCACTCGGCTGCTAACTAAAAGATTGGTGGTCTGAATTCACCCAGCAGCTCTGTGAGAGAAAGACCTGACAAGCTGCTCCCATAAATTTATTGACTAGAAAATCCTATGGGCCTTTCTAGTGTGTCAATGACAATGGCTTGATCTACTTTAATAAATACTATTCCTTTCTATATAGTGGGAGCTCTGGTGGCATAGTGCCTAAGCATTTGACTGCTAACCAGAAGGCTGGGGGTTCAAACCACCAGCCACTCCTCAGAAGGAAGATTGGGCAACCTACTTCCGTAGAGATATTGCCTCAGAAACCAAAGGAAGGGTCGTTAAGAGTGAGTAGACTCAACAGCACTAAGTTTTGTTTTTCTATGTAGTAAGATTTAACACTGTCAAATATTTGTGTTGCTCAGCAATAATGAAGAATGTAAAAATGTATGTTCTTTAAATTGGGGATGGGTGAAAAGAAACTGTTATTTTAATTTAGTTGTGTTTGGAAACTGTTTTATAAACACAGTATAAATGTCAAAAATTCATTATTTTGAAACCCAGAATTTATATTACAATTTAAATATTTTTCAAACTTTTCTGCAATGTGTTTTAGACCAGAGAACATTTCCCAAAAAAAAATCAGTTTTCAATTGCACAACTGAGCCACTCAAATTTTGTTGGCAAATGTTTTTTGTGGTAATGAATTAGGTAGCAGAGGATACAGTGAAGAACCACTGGTCAACAATCAAACATGGCTAGAGATGCAAGAGCCCAAGCATTAAATCAATTCCTTGGTGTGTATATATTAGCCGTAGTCCCACAATGAACCTAAGGCAAACTTTAAATTGGATTTTATACTGATGGCAGAAAGTAGCACTGTGCACTGGAAAACTTCCAAACTCAGAAGTCTTGAGATTTCCAAACTAGCTACGTAACTTTAGACAATATTCTTAGCTGACTAAACCCATGGCCATCCAGTCAATTCTGACTCACAGTAACCCTACAGGATAGAGTAGAACTGCCCTATGCTCTATAGGGTTTCTAACGATAGAAATCTTTATGAAAAGTGAATTGCCTCATCTTTCTCACACAGAGCAGCTGGTGGGTTTGAAATGCTGACGTTTTGGTTAACTACTATGCCACCAGAGATCCTTCCTAGCTGACTGTGCCTCGATTTTCTCATTTTCAAAATGGGGTTAATCCTTGTCTTGCCTCTGAAAATGGAATATATATATATATATATATATATTTACTTATGTCTCAAATAATTGGCACCTAAAAAATCAGATGGAGAAAACTCCATTCTCTATGTCATGATAAATGGCATTTTCCAGATATGAAAACCCACTGCTGTCAAATCGAATCTGACTCATAGTGATCCCTTCTTGTGTTTCCAAGGCAGTATCACTACAGAAGTAGATTGCCCAACCTTCCTTCTGAGGAGTGGCTGGTGGGTTTGAACCACCAGCATTCTGGTTAGCAGTCAAGTGCATTAAGCTCTACACCACCAGAGCTCCTTTTCCAGAGAAAATATCTTAAAGATATTGTAATACCATTTCAAGCAGAGTCTGAAGTACATACCAGCTCACGTGGTTGCTATGAGATTCAAATGTGATAGTATGCACAAAGCAATTTTATATTTATAGACTGTTATGAAAATAGGAATTAATATTATTATAAATAGAAAATTAAAATGTATCAAAACTAACATCAGGTAAAATAAGAAAAATTAAAAAAAAAAAAAACCCGCAAGGACATTAAAGCTGAATGAACTTGCTAATATGAGTTGATAAATGTTCCTTAGCAACCAAAGGTATGAGGATTAGAGAGTCAGTTTAGCTACTTGAATCTATTGATAATAGTTGTATTGCCAACTAACAATAAAAATCTTTAGTGATTCACTAAGAATCTCAGAAAATTTATATTTACATTGAAAAACAACAAACTGGGGGGTGTGTGGTGGGGAGATAAAAACATTCAGGTACTTACAGCAGTGATTATTGGAAAACTGACCACAGGACTTAAAGAGTGATTAGCTATGAACCAACAACAGGTGGCTATTGCCCAAAGTGTTCCTGAAAGGAATCCTGAAATGCAGACATGACACATTTACAAACCTTTTCTCCTGAAAAATTCACACTTCAGATACATGAAGAATGCTAAAGTTCACATATATAATGCATTCCTATCAATGTTGTAGACTAACATGGATTTTTGATCTATATTTTAAGGTCATTTTGGAAACCAACTGATTCTTCTGCTCTTAACTGCTGTGGGTACAATTATCAACCTTTTCAGATTACTGATATTAAATAAAGTAGTAGTTGATGTAAAGATAGGATAACATCCTATAGAAGATATTAGATCTAAACATTCTCTACAAATATCATTTACTCTAAACTAGGAATTTAAAAAGAAGTGAAATATAGAATGATGCTACAGCTAAGAAATGAAAATACAAGCTAAATATTTCATGATACTTTGGCAAAGCATTCAGTTAGTATTCTATCATTTTCTATAATGTGAATGCTTTGGCTTAAATGAAGTAACCAAAGAAAACCAAACTCACTGCCATCGGGTTGTTTCCGACTCATAGCGACTCCCACTGGGTTTCTGAGGCTATAAATCTTTACCGAAGTAGATCACCCCATCTTCCTTTCATGGAAAGGCTGTGGGTTTAAATTGCTGACTTTCCATCAGCAGTCAAGCGCCTTATCCACTACGCCACCAGAGCTCTTTAAGTGAAGTAGTCATTTAAAATGAACCTGACTTATCCTTTACTTAGATCTTTAAGAAATTATTACTTGTAAACCAAGTTGAATGATTCCAAATTGAATGATAATAAACTCTTAAATAAGTAAGAAATAGTGATTTTACCACCAAGGCTAATGGATTTAGTCTGAAAGCAGTTTCTCCAAAACTACAGAATCCTATGACATGATTTGTTGTTGTTGTTGTTTTTAAAATAGAGTCAAAGGACTCAGACTTTCAATATGAATCTTTAAAGAGTAAAGAAGAAATAGTAAAGAATGATGGCCAATATACAAGCTGCTTTGTCACAGGAAAAGATCTGAGATTCATTGAGTTTTAGGTTATATACTAATGATCTGGATTTCCTATTCAGTTTTGTGATTTTTAAATACTTCTTATTAAGTGATAAACTGGGAGCCAAAGCAGTGAAAGGAATGACAAATACACACGCAGAGACTCCCCACCCCCTCCACACACACCAGGTAACCTAATTTCCAGAATATAATTATGTTGCCTAAATGAGTAAAGAATTACACTTTCACATAGAACATTTTCCGTAGTAAATATTCTTACCTGGTAAGACTGCTTCAGGGTATAGTTTAGGACTATTTTTCATGGCTATACAGTAGGCCAAAAAGTAGACTGTACTTGCAAGAAAGATACCACTGAAGTGTGCAAAGACATAATCTAAATCTGAAAACATAGATATAAAACTCTCAGATCATTTTAGTTATTCCAAGCACATTTAGATTTCTGAAAGTAAATGAAATAAAATTTTAAAAATTGACTTTAAAAATAATCATTAGTTACCTTTAATCATTCTATTTTTTTATATGGGCTCTGTAGTAACGTAGCGGCTAAGACATTTGACTGCTAACCAGAAGGCTGGTGGTTCAAACCCACCAGCCACTCCTTAGAAGGAAGATAAGGAGCCTTGGCAGTGCACTGGTTAAGCACTTTCCTGATGGCTTAAAGATCAGTGGTTCAAACCCACAGGAGAAAACTATGGCAGTCTACTTCTTCCCAAGATTACAGGCTTGGAAACACTATGGGGCAGTTCAACTCTGTCACATAGGGCTACTATGAGTCTGTATCGACTGGATGGCAACAGCTTTAACCCACCCACTTCTGACAAGTCGGATCTGACTCATAGTGACGCCTCCTTGGGTTTCCAAAGTGGTATCTCTACAGAAGTAGATTGCCCAACTTTAGCAGGTGCAAATGGTTAATGCACTTGGTTGCTAACTGAAAGGTTAGAGGTTCTAGTCTAGACAGAGGTGCTTCAGAAGAAAGATGATCTACTTCCAAAAAATCAGCCATTGGAAACACTATGAAGCATGGCCCTACTCTGGCACATGTGAAGTCACCATGAGTTGGAGGCAACTGAATAGAATAAAAAATATATATGTATGTTAAATATCTTTTTTTAAAGAATATTTAGACCAAATGACTAACTATAGTAAATTACCAGGTGGATTGTGGTGGTGTCAGGAGGTGTGGGAAAAAAAAATTGGGTGCTCTTATGTGGTCTACTGGTCAGTGTGGAGACCAGTATATCTATTGTACATGATAGCCATGTTGTTGTTGTTGTTATGTGCTGACTCATAGCGACCCCTCCTTGGGTTTCCGAGGCAGTATCACTACGGAAGTAGATTGCCCAACCTTCCTTCCGAGGAGTGGCTGGTGGGTTTGAACCACCAGTCTTCTGGTTAGCAGTCAAGTGCCTTCAGAAAGTTATTCCAAAGAAGGTTTTATTCAATTATTTATTATAAAACCAGTTACATGGGGGAGTTAGTCACACAAGATAATTGTGCAATCTCCAAGAAGCCTCAACTCCACTATCTGCTAAGCAGACAATACTCTGGCTACACTGATAGGTATCTTCAGGGCTTTTGTACACTGGGATCAATGTTTTTCTCACCTAAAATTCTGACAAAGATAAACCAGTTGTTGCTGGGTCGACTCCAACTCATGGTGACCCCCATGCTTGTCAGAGTAGAACTGTGCTCCTTGAGTTTTTCAGGGGCTGATATTTTTGGAGTAGATCACCAAGTCTTTCTTCTGAAAAGCCTCTCGGTGGATTTGGACATCCAACTTTTTGGTTAGCACAGAGTGTGTTAACCCTTTGCATCACCCAGGGATTGGTTGATAAAGATAAGTGGCCAGCTGTGGTGTAGGGAGGAAAGCTTGGATAAGGAGTTTGCTTATTCTAACATCTTAAACTCTACTTCTGAATCATATAAGGACTAATAGCTCCACCTATGGACCACCACAAAAAGGCAGCGTAGCATAACAATTAAGAGCACAGACTAAAGCAATAAAATCAACCCACTGGCATAAAGTCAATTTCAATAGGGTTTCCAAGGCTGTAAATCTTTATGGAAGCAGAATGCTTCATCTCTCTCCTAAGGAGTGACTGGTGGGTTTGAACTGCCAGCCATCTGGTTAGCACCTGAATGCTTTAACCACTGTGCCACCAGAGCTCCTTGAGCACAGGCTACTTGGGTGCAAATCCTCATCCCCATTACGCAGTAACTTGGGAACTTGCACAAGTTATCTAATATATGTCTCACTTTTCTGAACTGTAAAATGAAGATGATAATAATAATTAATTCATAATATTTTTATGAGGATTAACTAAGTTAATATATGAAAAGTGCTTATAACAGTGATGAGCACAGAGCACATACTACACATGTGTTTGCTATTTAAAAAATAATGCCCCCATGACATCAAGCTCAGTTTGCATAATATACTACACAAAACATTGTTCCAATTCCTACTTTGGCGAGTAGTAACTAGGATCTTAAAAGCTTGCAAGCTGCCATCTAAATGCAACAATGGGTCTCTCCTCATCCAGAGAAAAGAAGAATGAAGAAAACCAAAAATTCACGGAAACAATTAGTCCTAGCGATTGGTACACCATCCGATCTTCAGCCTATACAACTGAGACCAGAAGAACTAGATGGTGCCCGGCTACCACTGTCAACCACTTGGTAGAGGATCTTTGTAAGAGATACTGGATAGAGAAGGAGAACAATGTGGAACAAAACTCAAAATCATTTGGAGAAAAAAAAAAAGGGGGGGACCAGGTTTGCTGGTCTGAAAGAGCCTGGTGGAACCACTGAGATTATGGCCCCTAGCTGCCCTTCAGGTCTGGAATTGAACCAACATCTGTGGCTTCCAGCTGAACAAAAGACAGGCATATGAGTTGAACATTTACCTGAGGTAGATACACTCCTTGGAGAGAACAATCGTGGGAGAAAGAAGGGCTGCTTATGCACTGGGAGACAGCTCAGGGGGCAGGAGTGCATGGAGGGTGGACACAGGGAAGAGGTAACTATTGGGAGGAAGTGGGAGGGGAGCTGTTGCATTGTGGTAAATTGTGGTCAATGTCATGAGATAAAGTGTATGTGAACTGCTGTATGGAAAGTGAATATTCTCTGTAAATTTTCATGCAAATCACAATAAAAAAGTAAAAAAAAAAAGAAAAAAATTAAAAAAATAATGCCCCCATGTAGAATTGTTTTTTAATAATCTGTACTAAAGTGTGTTGCTATCAGATTAGATTCACAGTTGTCATAAGAAATATTCATTAGAACTCATTTGTTCTAATATGTAAAGATATTATTAAAGACATTGTTTATTATGTCTCAGTACCAAGAACACTGGTAATCCTGAAAAATTGGTTGTTTTCATCTTGTGTTCACTGAATCGTAGAAAATGATTTGATTTCCCTCATAAGCGGGATACAAGAACTCTTGCAGTCAAATTTATGGCTCATTGCTAGCAAGTGGAGAAATGTGATATAAAGTTTTTAGACTTATTCCTGGTTCTGTATGATTTCATCACCCTCGCTTTTATTCATTTTTTTAATGAATAAAAAGTTTGAATAGTGTACATATACACAAAGGGAGAAGGAAGTTGTCATGGATTGAATTATTTTGTTCCCCCAAAATTTGTGTAAACTTGGCTAAGCCATGATTTTCAGTGGTTTAGTAGTTATGTAATGATGTAATGTGGCAGATATGTAATGATATCCAATGATGTGATCTGAAATGATAAGCTAATAAGGTAATAACAAGATTAAAGGTAGTATGCAACATCCCAGGAGCTCTGGTAGCATAGTGCCCAAGGCACTTGACTGCTAACCAGAAGGCTGGCAGTTCAAACCCACCAGCCACTCCTCGGAAAGAAGATGGGGCAATCTACTTCCATAGTGATATCACCTTGGAAACCCAAGGAGGGGTCGCTATGAGTTGGGTCTGACTCCACGACACATAACACCAACAGCAATGTACTAATGAGTTCATTAAGGAGCTCTGGTGGAGTAGTCCCTAAGGCATTTGACTGCTAACCAGAAGGCTGACAGTTCAAAACCACTGGCCACTCCTTGGAAGGAAGATTGGGCAATCTACTTCCTTAGTCATATAGCCTTGGAAACCCAAGGAGGGGTCACTATGAGTTGGAGATGACTCGATGGCACATAACAACAACAACAACAACAACAACAACGAGTTCAGTTATAAAGTGAAATAAATGAAATTTTTGATCTTACCATATTGACTTGCTCCTGCATATGCACTATCATTTCTTTTGCTGTGGTCCTTGATATAAATGATTGGCACAAATGTACATCCATAGAATATTCCAGATATCACTGCAAGACTACATCCCCTTAAAAAACAAGTAAATCTCTGTTAATCTTGATCCAAAACAATATGTTTGACATACATACAAATGGAGTCATAATTAAAGCATGTCTCCAAATGTAAATAACAAGAACTTATACAGAAATCATTGCATCTATCTCAATCTATAACTAGCAGAAATCAAAGAAATACTCTGCAGTATCAAAGTGGTACCAGAACTAAGAGTCCAGCTTCTGTCCACCACTGCACATGATTTGTAGAAATTACAATGGGTTATCATAATAAATTATATAAATGAGATTATTATTATCATTTTATTATGCAATACACATAAAATATGGCTTTCTAATTAAATGATGAGGTATTTGTGGCCCAACACTATGCCTTATGCTTTCTTTTAAACACCCTATAGTATCTAGCAAGGGGTTGTGATAGACTAAGTACTAGACACATTTTTTTGTTCCAAACAACCAGAGAGGTCCATAGACTTATCTATGCTTAAGTTAATTATGTCATGGTCAAAAGGAAGTGCTGAATTACTCAAATAACCTGGATTTTTCAGGTAAAACATTTCTTTTTATAAGAAGAAAATATTTAATTTTAAGTACTATAGCCATGCTCACTCCTCAGACTTAGGCCATGCCTGCATTAAGCAAGAATTTCCAGTGATTTTGAGGGGAGGTGATTAATGTTTTATAACAGGTAGTTCCTTTAACTTAATACAAAAGACAATAATGTGAAACAGGAAATATTTAGCCAAAAACTATTCCCTTCTAAACTTATAAACAATCCCCAAAGTTTATATTAATAGTATTTTAAAGAATATGAGGCCACAGGAATCCAAACAACCATGTGGGCAACAGGAGCTCTGGTAGCATAGTGCCTAAGGCACTTGACTGCTAACCAGAAGGCTGGCAGTTGAAACTCACCAGCCACTCCTCAGAAGGAAGGTTGGGCAATCTACTTCCGTAGTGATACCGCCTCGGAAACCCAAGGAGGGGTCGCTATGAGTCAGGTCTGACTCGATGGCACGTAACAACAACAACAACATATGGGCAATGTGTTGTAGTCACCCTGGAAATCTCTGCATTATATTGAAGCCTGGATTTCATATTCCTGGAGGAATGTTCTAAACATAGACCAGACTAATAGATCAGGACTGACTAATAATAAAACAACCACAAATTTTTTTCTTAATAAATAACAATGGAGGAGAGATTTTTTAAAAAACAAATGTTTTATTTGAGAATGCTGTTTTATTATGAAATGCCACTTATAAAAATAACATTTATTTCTTCCAAGTTTGTTTGTTAGTTCATTCACTCATTCTCTTAAATATTTATTGAGCAGTTGCTATGTGCCAGTCAGGGAGTTCCTGAGTGGCCAAATGGCTAACATGCTTAGCTGCTAACTGAAAGGCTGGCAGTTTGAGTCCATTCAAAAGCCCCTTGGAAGAAAGGTCGGAATCCATTTAACCGCAATTGGTTTTGTTTTGGTTCTCTGTGGGAGGCACTTCATATTCTGCACTATGAAGATAGTGCATATACCATCAAAGGAAAAGCTTTATATTGTTGAGGCAAAAAAAAAGGTGTCACCACATTAAGTTCAAAAGCCATTAATTGTGTGATACAACAAGATGGCCTGCACAGGGCCTGCAACATTGAGCTCAAATATAGCAATGATTACGAGGATAGTGTAGGGCCAGGCAATATTTTGTTCTATTGTACATAGGGTCACTTTAAGTCAGAACCAACTTGATGGCACCTAACAACAACAAATGAGTGTATATTTTCATAGCTCCTTACAGATAAAAAAAGAGCCCCCCCCCAAAAAAAAGAACTGATATTGAACCTAGTTCTCCCAGTTTTTATGGAGACAGTATAGATACAAAATATTGCATTGTATGTGACAATGAATTGTGGGATTATAAAATTGTCCTACACACCCACGGAGGAACTGCAAGTATAGGGCAGGCATCATGAGTAGTGCAGTACTAGAGAATTGTGTTGCCTTGTTCAACTGTGATTGCTGAGAGCATGTTAGTGCAGTCTATCTCATTTACTTTAGGCACAAGAGTCTTGCAAAATGAGGTTGCTTTTGTCAACTACTTATTGTCTAGAGAGACTACAATAAAGCAACTAAGCACTTAAGGACCTCTGAACCTAAAAATTCATCAGGGAACAAAGAAAACCTCTCCTCAATGGAGCCAAGGAAGTCAAACCTTGTGTTACCATTTTCTTGGAATTCAGATAAATATCACTTCAAACTGATAATCCTTATACTGGTAACCCTGGTTTAACCAAAATAAGAAACAGAGTAATAGAGAAAAGAAGTAACTTCTGCTTACACTATACGTTGCTGTACTGTAGAAAGTTTATCCACCCAGGAATAATTAGGACAGGTATCTTCAGTTGTGTTGATCACCTGTTGAAAACATTGGAACAACAACAACAAAAACAAAACGAAAAAAAAAAAACCAGCATTTCATTGATAATCATGCTGGTGAAAAAAATTTCCAGTGATTCCCTCTCCTTTCTCAAGTGTACTTTAAAATCTGCACATGTTACATAGTGTACTTGATATGCAGATGACACAACATTGCTGGCTGAAAGTGAAGATGACTTGAAGTACTTACTGATGAAAGTCAAAGATTTTAGTATGGATTACACCTCAGCATAAACAAAAAACTCCTCACAAGTGGACCAAAAAGCAACATAGTGACAAACAGAGATTCAAGTTGTCAGGCATTTCATTTTACTTGGATCCACAATCAACGTTCATGGAAGGAGCAGTCAAGAAATCAGACATTGTATTACACTGGGAAAAGATGCTACAAGAGAGCTCTTTAAAGTGATAAGGAGCAAAGATGTCACTTTGAAGACTAAGATGTGCTTAACCAAAGCCACGGTATTTTCAGTCACCTCATATGCATGTGAAAGCTAGACAATGAATAAGGAAGATTGAGAAGAATTGATAAATTTGAATTGTGGTGTTGGCAAAGAACCTGAAAATACCATGGACTGCCAGAAGAATGAACAAATTTGTCTTGGAAGTAGTACAGCCAGAATGCTCCTTAGAAGTAAAAATGGCTAAACTTCATCTCATATACTTTTGGTCACATTGTCAGAAGGGACCAGTCCTTGGATTGGGATATCATGCTCCATAAAGTGGAGAGTCAGCGAGGAAGGGGAAGACCCTTAGTGAGATGGACTGACATAGTGACTAAAATGATGGGATCAGGCATAGCAAAAAGATTGTGAGGATAGTGCAGAACCAGGCAGTATTTTCTTCTGCTGCACAAAGTGTCACTAGAAGTAAGAGCTGACTCAATGGCACGTAACAAAAGATCACTAAATATACTCTCACTCTGTGGGTATCCCTAGGCTTGACTATTTCTGATTCTGTTCCTATTTCATTTAGAATAGTTGGATGTGAAGGAAGGAAGATGTCATCATACAGATAACCTGCACATTTAACCCCTCTTCCAAATGAGACTCTGAGTAACTGGGTAAAACAGATAAAAATAATGATACTGGAGTTATGAGCAACTAAGGAGAAGATTAACTATTAGATTCAATGAAGGCGGAGAAAGGGGGCAGATTAAACCAAAAAAAACAAACAAACTCACTTCCATTAAGTCGGTTCCAATTCATAGCGACCCTCCTTGAGTTTCCAAGGAGGTGTCTCTATGAAAGTAGATTGCCCAGTCTTCCTTCCCAGGAGTGGATGATGGGTTTTAACTGCCAGCCTTCTCTTAGCAGTCAAATGCCTTAGACCCTATGCCAGTAGATTAAATAACTGGGAAAAATAAACAAACCTGCTCAGCTGGCGGAGAAGAAGACAGAGAAGAGTTATTAGAAATGCAAAAGAGATCAAGGATGAGGAAGAAAAAAAAAATCACAGAACCCACAGGCTTTGGGGACTCTGAGTAGTCACACAAAAAGTTTTTCGAGGTGATCTGGGCTCTGAGTGAGTATAATAACTTTACTGGGAAACAGATTAAGACCCCCATTGGCTTGGGCTGCCGTGGGGTCCAGAAAAGAGTTGGGGAAAGGGAGAAACTCTCTCCAAGTAAGCAGAGCCCTGAAGTGGGTACATGGCAGTGGGCTTGGTACCAAATCTTGGATGACCCTATTTGGCACAGAATGGACCTGAGTATTGGAATTTTGCAGCTTCTCAATCAAAGCAGAAAGTGGTGGCCCTCTATCCACTGGGGTGTCTGTTTGTTTTGAACCATGGGTCTTTGATTGACAGCAGAGTGTCATCATCAGTAGAAACATCATAAGGACCCAGGCTGCCCTTCTCATGCCTACATCATTGACTGAATTATCTCTTCCTAAATGCAGAAAACTCCTTCTACCTTTCTATCCTGGGGTTTGTTTCTGGTGTTTCCCTCCACCTCCTGTCTTTTTCTTTCTTCCTTTTCTCCCCTGCCTTGTCTAATAGGAGGAAAACATTAAACCTCCACCTGGCAAATGGAGCTATTACACTGAACACTTCACCCAATAGACAGGTAACACCAATAGCTCCTGTGCCACAGGATCAATGACAGACGGTGAACAACCCTGGTTGTCCTAACTCCAAATTCTCTTCACAATGACAGAGACCTGCATCTGCATCCACACCAGTGATTCCACCAACACAAAGAAAGCTGGAGAGCAACCCAGTACAGCTGAGTTAATAACCAAAGAAGTACACCTGCCCCACACTTTCAGATATAGTAAAACATAAAATCAAGGTGAAACAAATTGATACATAACTAATAATTAAAGACAACAACTTCAAAATGTCTAGGAAACAACAGACAACCTCAAATCAAACAGAAAAAATAGGACAAGACAAAAGAAATAATAGCCCTGGGTAAAGAATTATCTATCATGAAAGAAGAACAAGTAATGGAACTATCTGAGAAGGAATTCGGAAGGTCATATATATGGGACACTCTAAGACCTCAAGGAAACCATAAACAGAAACAACGAGAAGACAGACAGTACCTTGGAAGAATTCAGGAAAATCGTTCAAGAACAAAATAACAGGATAAATACACAATTAGAACTCATACATAAACAGCAATTAGAAATCCAGAAGATGAACACTAAAATTACGGAGATAGATAGCACAGTGGAAGGATAAAAGAGTAGACTAGAACTGGCTGAAGAATGCATTGCTCAACTAATAGGCAAATTCCTTGATGCCAGCCTGTATGAAGAAAAATCAGAACAAAGATTTAAGAGAAATGAAGAGAACATAAGCATTACATGGGATGACATGAAAAGAAACAATATACGCCTGATTGGAATATACCAGAACAAGAGGAGGCAAAAAAAAAAAAAAAAAAGAAAACACTGAGAAAATTGCCAAAGATTTGCTAATACAATAGTTTGGCAAATTCTCTGTTTGAATGTTTCACAGCTTAATATATGGCTATTTTGAAACACCTATTAAAACTAACAAAATTTATTAACTCTTATGTTCCAGTTACATATTTTAATTATCTGTAAAAAAATTAGAACCCCAAAAATCCAATATGTCACTTTGAGGACTAAAGTCCACCTGACCCAAGCCATGGTATTTTCAATTGCCTCATATGCATGGAAAAGCTGGACAATGGATAAGGAAGACAGAATGGATGCATTCTAATTGTGGTGTTGACAAAGAATATTGAATATACTATGGACTGCCAGAGGAACGAACAAATCTGTCTTAGAAGAAGTACAGCCAGAGTGCTCCTTGGAACTGAGGACAGCAAGACTTGTCTCAAGTACTTTGGACATGTTATCAGGAGGCACCAATCCCTGGGGAAGGACATCATGGCTGGTAAAGTAGAGGGTCAGCAACAAAGGAAGACCCTCTCTGAGACAGAGTGACACAATAGATGCAAATTGGGCTCAAATATAATAATGATTGTGAAGTAGGTGTAGGAGTGGTCAGTGTTTTGTTCCATTGTACATAGGATCATTAGGAGTCAGAACCAACTCAATGACACCTAACAACAGCAACAGTAAATCTAGTTTGCTTACAGTCTTCCCTCATGCCTAAAGGAATTTAAGGCAATTAGCCTACTATATATCTTTTATCAAGTTATGTTTATATTATTTTTATCCTTTTTTTTTTTCCCCTTGCGTGGTGGATAATTAGGAGGCTCTGGAACCCTAAAGTGGACAAGGAACACCAGAAACCATCCACTCTCCCTGATATGCTGTGCTGATTACAGATGCCTATGGAATAATAAACCTCTTCTCTCTTACACTTAAGCTGATTATTATTCAACTTAGTGCCTAATCAACCAAAGCTTCAGTCACCTTAGTGGATAAGAGTTTTCCTAGGAGAAGGAGAAAAGAGTAATTTTAAAGTAAGGAGACAAGGTACCACCTTTGAGCAAGGCATCCATTAGTGGAGGTGTGAGGCTTCCTAGGTCAGCTAGAGTGCCCTGGGCCCATGGCAGACGGAGGAGATGCTTGAAAGAGAAAGACCTAGAGTCTGGGATCATGGAAAGGCAAGGCAGCCCTTGAAATCACTTTTATATATGTAGCCAACCTAAGTAACCCAGACTTGCCGTTACAGACTAATTTAGATTCTCCAAGTTCAAAACAGTGACCTCTTACATTTTCCTGATTTTTATCATTGAGTAGAGCAGGATATGGCATAAAAGAGAAGTAGAAAAGCAAAAGGAAGATCAAGTCCAATTTCTACTCTCACATGTCTTTTGTCTTTGGTTGGCTTCCTTTAGTCTATTTCTCCTCCTGGCATAGTAGAAAATCTCCTTCCTCCTCCTTTATAAGGTTACTTTCATTACCCTGAAGTATTTAGGGTTCCCCTGTTGTAGAAAGCTTTGAATCTCTCCAGAACACAAGGTTGTGTATTCCTCTCCTAGCAGAGATCTACTATTAATACAAGTAAGTCAACCTCTGTGGTTGCTGAGAAGCTTTACTATGGAAACATTGATTAACTGCTACACAGGCCTAGTCAAAATAAATATGCTAAGATATTTTATATAGGTGCTCTGGTGGCTCAGTGCCTAAGGCATTTGACTGCTAACCAGAAGGCTAATGGTTCAAACCAACTAGCCACTCCTCAGAAGGAAGGTTGGGCAATCTACTTCCATAGTGATACTACCTCGGAAATCCAAGGAGGGTTCACTATGAGTCAGATCCAACTCGACAGCAGTGAGTAAATGAAAAATAATGAAAAGCTGGAAATAGAAATACCATATGATCTAGCAATCCCACTACTAAGTATATATCTCACAGAAATAAGAACCATGACACAGATATATGCACACCCATGTTCACTGCACCACTGTATAAAATAGCAAAAGATGTAAACAACCAAAATGCACATAAAGGATGAATGGATGAACAAACTATGGTACATACTATACAACATTAAAGAACAACGATGAATTTGTGAAACATCATAACATAGATGAACTTAGAGCCCATTATGCTGAATGAAATTAGTCAATCACTAAAAGACAAATATTGTATAAGGCCAGTACTATAAAAAGTCAAAGCAAGATTTTCACACAAAAAGAAATATTCTTTGATGGTTACCAGGGGTGGTAAGGGAAGGCAGGGTAAACCACTAGAAGGCAGACACATATTTACTTGGGGGAAGACTAAGGCAATATACAATAAGGGGGAAGTCAGCACAAAATGATCAAGGAAAGGAAGACGCTGGGAGGAGCACAAGAATTAAAGCCAACAGATATAAATATTGATTCACAAATCATGCAATAACAGTAATAACAACAATCAATTATCTACAAGTGGATACACAGATGGACATAAGCTGAACAGGTATGGGAAGGAGAATGGGATGATACCACAAATATGTATTGGTTTGACAAAGGATATTTCTTCACATGTATTTGCATACGCTGCAAATATATCCATGAAGATAGTAGAACATACAGGGGGCAAAGTTATGAAAACTTCTTAGCCATAACCAAAAACCCTGAAGGGGTGAGTTGCTGGGCCTGGGGACTCAAGACCATAGTCTAGGGGGATATCAAGGTCAATTGGCACAACATAGTCCACAAAGATACCGTTCTACATCCTACTTTGGTGAACAGCAACTGGGGTCTTAATAGCTTGTGAACGACAACCTATGGTGCAACCATTGGCTTCTCCCTGTCAGAAGCAAAGAAGAGTGAAGAAAATCAAAGACACATGGAAACAATTAGTCCAAAGGATTAAAGGACCATGCAAGCCTCAGCTTTCACCCCCTTGAGACCAGAAAAACTGGATGGTGACTGGCTACCACTATCAACCACCCTGAAAGCAATCACATTAGAAGGTGCTGGATAGAGTGGGAGAACAATGTGGAAGAAACTTCAAAATCATTACAAAAAAAAACAGGCTTACTGGTTGCACAGTGATTGCTGTAACCCCCAAGACTATGGCCCTTGGTCATTCTTCTGACCTGGAACTGAGCTCACTCTGTAAGTGAATTGTTAGTCAAATAATAGACAAGTCTACAAGATGAACAATAACTCTAGGAAGGCACACACTCCTTAGGACAATCAGCCATTCGAGATCAAAAGAACAGCATTTGCTCGAGGACAAAAAAAACTTTCCTGCTTAGAAAGCAGGAAAGTATAGAAGAAAAGGAGGAATGGAAACAAGAAGCACAGGAAGGAAGTAGGATGAGTGATGTTACATTGAGAGGATTGCATTCAGTGACATGAAACAAGAAATGTGTGAATTGTTGAATGGAAAACTGATTTGCTCTGTAACCTTTCACCCAAATCACAATACAAAGTTTAATAAAAAAAAGAAAATAATAGCAAAAATACCTTCTCATTTGTGTTTGCAATCTATGCTTTCTCTTTTCACCTAAACATTGTTTCAAATCAAGTTGTCTTTCAGTATACTATCATCTATCTTATACCATACTCACATGCTCTGACATTAATGGTGTGGTATCCATGGAACATGTGTTACTTGGTATTTCACTTTTGATGAACAAAAATATGAAAGCACTGTGAAGAAAAGAAGTTTTAATGATATATATCATACTCTTGATCCATAATTAACCTGCCTATTTTTAAAGAGAAAACAACTTAAATCATCCAATCCTACCAATATGATGATTACTTCCAATGTATACCCGCCAGTGGTCTTGCCATTTCTCCAAAACTGCCATCTTCTTCGATGTCTCTCATTGAAGCTGGTCAAAATCTAAACTCATAATCTTTTCCCTCCAGTCAGTTCTCTCTCCTGATTTCATAAATGGCCTTATATTTCTTTTTTATTCCTGCTTAATCTAGAATCATACAGTAAGAGAAATGCAACTAACGAATATTTCTCTTCTTTTATATGGACAAAACACCAAAAGTTTAGCAACACACTCAGTTGGTAAAACTGTAGACGACAGGCATTTTCATATATTGCTGCTGTGTGTGCAAAATGGTACAGCTCCCACGTAGGGAAATCTGGGGCTATTTTCCAAAGCTACAGATGTGCCCATTCTTGGCTTGAGCCATTTTTCTCCAATCACTCTCACACAAGTGTACTGCCATCAGGTGAAGTGACCTCCATGTCCACACAATGGAATACTACACAGCTGTAAAAAAAAAAGAATGAAGACAAGCTCTATACTTTAATATGGAAAGATCACCAGGATATATTTTGAGACGAGAAAAAAAAAATCAGTCTAATTCCTTTTCCCCCTTTAGTATCTCTCATAACATACTGTCTATCTTTGTACAGTAACTTTGTAATAAATGCCTCAGCATTATTGACTTTTGAAATATTCAGATAATTTAAAATGGGTTATTGTATCAAATTCACTTAAGAAAACTAAGAACTTTGGTATAATTTTGACTTTTTTTTAAAGCACTTTTGAATCTGCATAGGTTAAAAGTTTTAAAAAGTAAGTTTTCAAAGCACTTATGAGAATGAAGTAGGGCAGCTAGGTGCAAAACAATGTTCTGGATAATATATAATGTTTTGTATAAACATTAAAGTTAGAAGAAATTTAACTTCTCTTTCTGATTTTTATTGCTTGTTACGTTTTGCTTCACCCAACATTCCTAAACATAATTTCCCACATGAACTTCTATTTCTCATCACTTCCTTTTCTAAGCCTGCTGTCATCTCCAACATTTCACAACCACTTCCCATATTCCTTCCTTAGCTAGCCACACTACTCCTTCTCCTCTTCCTATCCAAATTAGAGCAGAATTATAGTGCTGACCGTGAGGAGAGAACTGCACCTCAGGCTTTCCTCACTGAATCTTCCTGGTCTGAATTCCCACAACCATCACCACACAATCCAAATCATTTGCTATCGTTATTAATCTTTTCTCTCTAAAGATTTTTGAATTCAATAGAAGATAGGAGCTTGTGGTAGTTGTGCGTCAACTTGGCTGGGACTGATTTTGAGTGACTTGGTAGCTGGATGTAGTTATTCCCCATGATGAGATGTAATCAACTCCATGGTGGAATCTACTGTGAGCATCTGAGTAGCTGCTTTAAGGATTTGGTCTGCTTCCAGTATATAAGATGCCTTGAAAGTCTTGAGCTTTCAGCATGTCTGGATAACGCATTTGGCCATCTTCATCTCAATGGCTTGCCATGTTATCTGCTGATCTTGAGACTGTTAATGGACTTGAATTAGTGGCCTGCTGTGTTGCTTGATAATTTTCAGACTGTGGTATTTTACTTGTCCACCTTGAATTTGTCAGCCTCAGCAGCCAGCAGATGCCTGAGTTAAGAGAAGCCTCCAGCTTCAGTGGGCCAGAAGCAAGAGGCAGAGCTGAAGGGCAAGGTTGAGGGGCTTTCACCCAGCCTCTAGAGCTGGCACTTTGAATCTGGACTTCCAGTCTCCTAAAGTGTAAGAGAATAAATCCCTGTTTGTTTAAAGCCATCCACTTGTGTTATTACCTGTTAAAGCAGCACTAAAGAACCAAAACAGAGCTACATCTTATCTTTCTTTTAGGGTCCTCAAAGTACTTAACACAGTAAAATTGAGTGCACAAGACCTAATTAGATGTATAAAAACCAACAAAACAAACTCACCGCTGTTGAGTCAGATCCTACTCCTCCTTGGGTTTCTGAGGTGGTATCTCTACATATACACAGTCAAATATGTATGTATGTATAAATGTGTGTGTGTTACTATGTATGTAATTTGCAAAGCTAATATTAGATATTGCAGTTACATTTTTTTTTTTTCTCAAAAGTATACAATGCAAACCTACTTTATTTAGATTAGGGTGTTTCTCTAGTTAAAAAAAAAATACACTATGATATGCTAGGGAGCCTTCAAAGATTTTTAAACAAGAGAGTAACATGACTACATTTAATAGCAGATATGAACAAGCAGTAGTGGCAAAAGAAAAGAATGGAATAAGGTAAATTAGAGGTGAGATTATCACAAATGTGTGCAGCTGGGTAAGTAGTAAGGGACTGATGAAAAAGAAAGAACTTGGGAAACATTTGAAATAAATGTTAACAAATTTTATATATGGGTTGGGTTTAATGTCTTTCCTTTTATATATAAAAGGAAAGACATTAAAGATGACTGAGATTGTGAATTTGAATAAACGTTTATACAGAGAGGGAACTCAGGAAGGGGAAACAGTTTGCAGAGAATGGAAAACTAAGAAAAGTAATTCTGTTTGGGACATGTTGAAGGTACAGAGAAAGGAACTAAGTCTAGCGTCTGCAGAATGACCCTGCATGGTTCCCTTACACACGATATCTCACGTAATGTTGAGTAAAAGGCACATGTAAGGCATTTGTGTAAAGATGTCTATCCTGGTTTGTGGTTAGGTAAAAGAACTATAGTTCTGAAGGAAAATAATGGGTAAACAAAGATTTTGGTTTCCTTATCACATAAAATAATAGCTGAAGCTGTGAGGGTTAACACAATTCTCTAAGGAAAGATGATTGAAGAATGGCGAGCTCAATCTTGGGGATAACCCAAAGTACAATTTTCCTTGAATGAAAAGAAAACCTGCATTTTTATCAGCTCTGATTTCTGGATTTTAATTAAAGCAAATATTTAAAAGGGTGTCCTGGATACTGCCTCTTTCTGTCAGCTCCACTCCCACTTTTATATATTCTGTCCTGAACCTAGGCCTGTTAACTACTTTCAAATTGGCTACAACTCACGATGATCACAACAAGCACAATGGAACAAAATCCTGCATAGTCCTATACCATAATTGGTTGGAGATCAGACTGGTGTGATCCATAGTGCTCTTGTTGGCTATTTTTCAGAAGTTGATCACCAGGTTGGTCTTCCTAGTCCATCTTAGTTTGGAAGCTCTGCTGAAACCATTGAGCATTATAGCAATACACAAGCCTCCACTGACAGACAATGGTGGCTGAGCATGAGGTGCACTGCCTGTGAATCGAATCAAGGTCTCCTGCATGGAAGGTGAGAATTCCACCACTGAGCCATTGCTTCACCTAGGTACACCAACTGGTTTCACAAGGAGCTAGGTGACAACTGCCCAAAGGGGAAATAATAACTGGACATAGAGTAGATATTAATAAAAATACCTATTAGAAAGGAACTAGCTAACATATAGAACATTACAGATTCCTAGTACCATGCAAAGCACTTAAAAATTTTTTATTTAATCCTCAATATATCTTAAGAGATTGCTACGATTATTTTCCATTATACCCACTTTAAGGAGCTCTGGTGGCATAGTGCCTAAGGCATTTGACTGCTAACCAGAAGGTTTACTGTTCAAACCCACCAGCTGCTCCACAGAAGGAAGATGGGACAATCTACTTCCATAAAGATTTACTGCCTCAGAAACCTAACGGGGGTTCTTATGAGTCAGAATCAACTCAATGGGAGTGGGTTTTGGTTTATCTCCATTTTACAGAAGAAGGCTTAGAGAAATAATTTGTTGTTCAATATCACAAAAGAATATAAATAACTGATTTTTAGTTTTAAAGAATATACTATTTCTAAAGAAATATGGAGCAAAACAGTGCTTGATAGACTGGGAGACTGGCCTTAAGTTACCATAAAGTCAAAATTAAGGTGTGCAACATTTGGGTGTAAAATCAATGTTTTTAAGAGAGCTATTCAAAGCTAGAATGTTGTGTGAATTGTATAAAATACATAAAATTGCCTTAAACCCAAAATGTCAGGAATCTGACATTTTAAAATAATCTATGTTATTTCTTCTCCAATTGGCCTGGGGCCACTCTCTAAAGCACCATTTCAATGACAAAGAGATTGTTCCAGTATGTGGCTGGGGAAAAGCCATCATTGCTGGAGGAAGGAAAATATACTGCCTTTCCCTAAAGAATAAAGAAAGTACTAAAATTTCCAGGCAATGCTATCAATTATGTGAAACTCTGACAGAGAGTATAAATGGAATCCAGAGAGGAAAGGATACTGAATTTAAGGTGACCTAGTTCCTGCTAGATGGAGCCCAGGTGGCACAGTTATTAAAGTTCTTGGCTGCTAACAGAAAGGTCACCATTTCGAACCTACTAAAGACTGTATGGGAGACAAATGTGGTAGTCTGCTTCTGTAAAACTGAAAACCCTATGAGGCAGTTCTACTCTGCCTTAGAGGGTCATTTTGAGTCAGAAGCAACTGGAGAGCAAAGGATTTGGTTTCTGGATTTAGCTCCTGTTAACGTTTTATTGCCTGAGAGAACGAAAGTCATTTTCATCCTCATGAAGGTACCCACACTTAGGACATTGATTCAAGAGTATTCTAAGTATTCAAAAGAATATGTGTTTTCACAGGTAAGAGAGTGGTTATCTAGATGTATCTAGATTAGGAAGAGTGACTTAAGTGACAGTTGATATGGGATATAAGATCAAAAGAGGCATCTGCTCTAATATAAAAATGATTGAACTATTGTTAACGGCTCAGGGTGACCTGTCACACAGATTTAAACCCTGTTGCTTTGGAATCAAATAATTAAGGCTCTGTGGTTAGGCAAAGATTATGACTCTATAACTAAACCTTATCAAAATTCTTTGTGTTAGAGCTTGGGAGATCTTATGCCCTGTGCGTGGTAATATTTAATAACAGTATCTGGCATTTTATCATCATATTATTATTTGTGACTGGTCATAAGATGCTGTTTGTAACCACAGATGTTTGTCAGTAGATTTTTTAGTCAATCAATTTATGCCATTTGTAAGGAGCTCTGGTGGTGCGGTGGTTAAACATTCAGCTGCTAACCTAGAGGTCAGCAGTTTGAACCCATCAACAGTTTCATGGCAGAAAGATATGGCAGTCTGCTTCTGTAAATATTTACATCCTTGGAACCCTTTAGGGCTGCTATGAGTCAGAATCAACTGATGGCAATGGATTTTGTTTTTGTTATTAATATAACCAATAATGTTAAAAATCACTTTGTTTTGTTCCAAATTCAACTGACTTCATTGCTGTAAGCCAATCACAATATTATATGTCATTAGTTTCTGGTTTAACAATTTAAATGTTGTCTATTTGCATACAATTCCTAGGAGCATTTTACATTTTGCAGTGTTTCCCTAGCTAGAGCTGTTCCTAGTCCCTCAATAAAACTGTTATGTACTTCATTTTTAACTAGGCATCATGATTTTGCTCTACAATACAGGGAAGAGGAAGTTGGGGGTAAGGGGTAACTCAGTAATAAATAGAAGAGAGAATCAATGGTTATTCCAAGGACCTCAGGAAGCCATTATGTATGTATTTGGATAACTTTTTCGGGAGTCCCAGAGGGGGCAAACAGTTAATGCACTTGGCTTCCTATTAAAAGGTTGAAGGTTTGAGTCCACCCAAAGGCATGTTGGAAGTAAAACCTGGAGATCTACTTCCAAAAACTCAGCCCTTCAAAACTCTGTGAGCACAGTTCTAGTCTGACATGCATGGGGTAACCATAAGGCAGAATTGACTTAATGGCTACAGTGGTATAGCATTTTTTAGTTTACATAATAATTTTAATATGTCTTTTGCTTCTAATTTATGAGCTATATATTATGAAAACTTTAAGAATAGGAGTGAAACATTGTCTGATATAGTGTCTGAAGATGAGACCCTCAGGTTGGAAGGCACTCAAAATATAACTGGGGAAGAGCTGCCTCCTCAAAATAAAGTTGGCCTTAAGGATGTTGATGGAATAAAGCTTTCAGGACCTCCATTTGCTGCTGGAGCATGACTCAAAATGGGAAGACACAGCTGCAAACATCCAATAATAATTGGAGTATGGAATGCACAAGGCATGAACCTAGGAAAATTGGAAGTTGTCAGAAATGAAATGGAACACATAACACATAAAGATTGATATCCTAGTCATTAGTAAACTGAAATGGATTGCTACTAGCCTTTTAAAATCAGACAAAAATACATTATACTATGCCAAGAATGACAAATTAAAGAGGCATGGTGTCGCATTCATCGTCAAAAAGAACATTTCAAGATCTATTCTGAAGTACAATGCTGTCAGTGATATGATAATATCCAATATACCTCCAAGGAAGACCAGTTAATGCTACTATTATTCAAATACTATTAATCAAACACACCAACCACTAAAGCCAAAGTTGAAGAAATCAAGGATTTTTACCAACTTCTGCAGACTGGAATTGACAAAACATACAATCAAGATGTATTGATTATTACTAGTAATTAGGATGCAAAAGTTGGAAACAAAGAGGAAGCATCAGTAGTTGGGAAATATGGCCTTGATGACAGAAATGATGCCAGAGATCATGTGATAGAATTTTGCAAGACCAATGACTTATTCACTGCAAAAAACTTTTTTTCAGCAACATAAATGGTGATTAGACACGTTGACATCACCAGATAGAATACAAAGAAATCAGATTGACTACAGCTGTGGAAAAAGACAGCGGAGAAGCTCAATTATCATCAATATCATCAGTCAAAACAACTAGGAGCTGATTGTGGAATACACAATAAATTGCTCATATGCAAGTTCAAGTTGTAGCTATAGTTAAATAAAATTAAAATAAAGTCCATGAGAGCCAAAAATATGAACTTGATTATACCCAAACTGAATTTAGGGACCATTAGAAGAATAGACTCGATGCATTGAACACCAATGATCAAAGACCAGACGAGTTGTGGGATGACATCAAGAACATCATACATGAAGAAAGCAAAAGGTCATTAAAAAGACAGAAAAGGAAGAAAAGACCAAAATGGATGTCAGAAGCCTCTGAAACTTGCTCTTGAATGAAGAGTTGCTAAAGTGAATAGCAGAAATGATGACATACAAGAGCTTAATAGAAGATTTCAAAGGGTGGCTTGAGAAGACAAAGTAATGCGTTATAATGAAATTTGCAAAGACCTGGAATTAGAAAACCAAGAAGGAATAACATGCTTAGCATTTCTAAAGCTGAAAGAACTGAAGAAAAATTTCAAGCCTCAAGTTGCAGTAATGAAGGATTCTATGGGCAAAAAATATTGAAGGACACAGAAAGCTTCAAAAGAAGAAGGAAGTGATACACAGTCACTGTACCAAAAAGAATTTGTCAACATTCAACCATTTCAGGAGGTAGCATACAATCAAGAACCAATGGTATGAAAGAAGTGCAAGCTGAACTGAAGGAATTGGCAAAAAGCAAGATTCCAGGAATTGACAGAATGTCCACTGAGATGTTTCAACAAAAGGATGCAATGCAGAAGGCACTCATTTATACCAAGAAATATGGAAAACTGCTACCTGACCAACCGACTGGAAGAGAACTGTATTTGTGCGCATTCCAAAGAAAGGTGATCCAACAGAATGTGAAAACTATTGAACAATATCATTATTATGACACCAAAGTAAATTGTTGCTGAAGATAATTCAAAAACTGTTGCAGCAATACATCAATAGCAAACTACCAAAAATTCAAGCTGGATTCAGAAAAGGGCATAGAATGAGGGCTATCATTGCTGATGTAAGCTAGATATGACTGAAAGCAAAGAATACTAGAAAGATGTTTACATGTATTTTATTGACTATGCAAAGACATTCAATTGTGTGGATCATTACAAATTATGGATACCATTGAGAAGAATGAGAATTCCAGAACACTTAATTGTGGTCATGAGGAACGTGTATGTAGACCAGGAAGTTGTTTTTCAAACAGAACAAGGGGGAAGTACATGGTTTAAAATGAGGAAAGGTGTGGGTCAGGTTGTATTCTTTCACCACACTTATTTGATGTGTGTTGTTGTTGTTTTGTGCCGTCGAGTTGTACCCGACTCATAGTGACCCATCCCCGGGTTTCCAGAGCAAATAAACTGAGATGTTGTTGTTGTTGTTATATGCCGTCGAGTTGGATCCAACTCACAGTGACCTCTCTCTCTCTTGGGTTTTCTGAGGCAGTATCACTATGGAAGTAGATTGCCCACCTTTCTTCCGAGGAGTGGCTGGTGGGTTTGAACCACCAGCCTTCTGGTTAGCAGTCAAGTGCCTTAGGCACTATACTACCCAAGAAGCTGGACTAAATGAAGAAGAACATAGCATCAGGATTGGAGGTAGACTCATTAACAGCCTGCAATAAGCAGATGACACAACCATGCTTGCTGAAAGTGAAAATGACTTGAAGCACTTACTGGTGAAGATCAAAGACTATAGTCTTCAGTATGGATTACATCTCAACATAAAGAAAACAAAAATACTCATAACTGGACCAATAAGCAGTATCATGACAAATGGAGAACACATTGAAGTTGTCCGAGATCTCATTTTAGTAGGAACCACTATCAACACTCATGGAAGCAGCAGTTAAGAAATCAGAGAAGGTATTGCACTGGACAAATATGCTGAAAGTGACCTCTTTAAATTTTTAAAGAGCAAAGATATCTCTTTGAAGACTAAGGTGTGTCTGACCCAAGCCTTGGTATTTTCAATTGCCTCATATGCATATGAAAGCTAGAGAATGAATAAGGAAGACTGAGGAGTTAATGCCTTTGAATTGTGGTGTTGGAAGAATACTGAAAATACTATGGACTGCCAGAAGAAGGAACAAATCTGTCCTGAAAGAAGTGCAGCCAGAATGCTCCTTAGAATCAAGAATGGCCAGGCTTCATCTCACCTACTTTGGTCATGTTGTCAGAGAAACCCAGTCCCTGGAGAAGGAGATCATACTTTGTAAAGTATCGCTGGAAAAGGGGAAGGCCCTCAAGAAAATGGATTGACATGGCTGCAATGATGGTCTCAAACACAGTATTATGAGGATGGCACAGGACTGGGCAGTTTTATGTTCTTTTCTGCATAGGGTCACTATGATTTGGAGCCAACTCAACAGTACCTAACAACAGCAACACATTATGATTGTCTATTTATATGTTATACTGAGCTGCCAAGCAGTCAAACAATTTCCTCACAGTCTGAGAGACTAAAGCTGTGAATTAAAGCTAGAATTCCTGATCTCAGATTTTGTACATTTTGCCCTCTAAAGCCAACTTTGTGATTGTAAATGAACAATTTGAGGAAAAGTCATGCATATTTTATGAAAAGAAGATTTAAAAAAAAATGTAAATACATAGAAACCCAAAACCAAGTCTGCGTTGGTTCCGATTCAGGGCAACTCCATGTGTCACAGTGTAGAACTGTTCTATAGTGTTTTCTTGCCTGTAATCTTTACAGTTCAAACCCACCAGCTGCTTTGCAGAAAAAGATGAGGCAGTCTGCTTTCATAAAGATTTATAGCATTGGAAACCCTATGGGGCAGTTCTACTCTGTCCTAGAGGGTCACTGTGAATTGGAATCAACTTTATGGCAGTGGGTTTGGTTTGGAATATTTATGGAAGCAGATGACCAGATTTTTCCTCCTTGTTTCCACTGGATGGGTTCAAACTGCCAAACTTTAGTAGTTGACTGCAAACTTTTTGTGCCACCCAGGGACCTTTAAAAAATGTATTTTAAATGCTTGGGAGAATAGTTAAATCACTAGAAATGGCTGTATACCTTACTATCGATAGTCCTGCTCCAATGTAATTTAGCAGTGGTTTTGATACTTCCTGTGCATCCATTCCAAACCAGCCAAACCTAGAAATTCAGAAAGTGATATTAAATTAGATATTCTTAAAAATGTGCTAATTCATAACATTTAAGGGTTTATTTAGACTTCTGGTCAGATTCCTGGGTTCAAATCTTAGTTCCTACACTTACTAATTGTGACTCTGGATAAGTTACTTACTTTCACTGTGCCTCGATTTCTCTAATTTAAGATGGGAATAATAATTGTACCTATCTCCTTATGTGTTATAAAGATTAAATGAGTTAATATATACAATAGTACTTGCTAATGTCCCTTTCTTAAGACTAAGGAAAGAAGAAGAAAAAGTAGATCAAGTGATTGATTTGAATGCTAATTAATTGGCAGCAATTATGTATAGTATTTGAAGAAGAGTTTTAAATAACTGTTTAGTTAAGAATCCTTAGTCTCTGACAAGGAGTTCTGGTGGTGCAGTGATTGTTAACCAGAAGGCTGGTGGTTCAAACTCACCCACCACTTCTTGGAAGGAAGTTTGGGCAATCTATTTCTGGAGAGATACTGCCTCGGAAACTCAGAGAGGTAGCTATGAGTTGGATCCAACTCAATGGCCGTGAGTTTGTTTTGGTTTTAGTCTTTGATATCACTCTAAATTCTCTCTGTCTTTTTTCCCTCTATGCCTTGACTTGTAGTGCTTGTTACCAACAATACCAACAATCACTGAGACCATTTAAACAAACCCAAACTCACTGTCACTAAATCGATTCTTACTCATAGTGATCCACATTGGGTTTCCAAGGCTGTAATCTTTATGGAAGTAGATTGCCTCGTCTTCCTTTCACAGAATAGCTGGTGAGTTTGAACCACTGACCTTCTGGTTAGTAGCCAAATGCCTTATCCACTATGCCACCAGAACTCCTTGAGACTCATTTAGGAGCCAGACAAAAAGGAAGCAAGAAATATAAAGAAGATAGCATTAGTCAAAAGCAGAGCATGAAGTAGGAGAGAAAGGACAGGACAGGATGTAATGGAGGCTAATTTGTTCTGTTGTTATTGAGATTTTTGTAACTTTTTTTTTTTTTTTTTTTTTTTGATAAAGAGGGGCAGGAATGTAAGGAAAGAGTAATATCCTTTAGGTTATTCATTTTTCCAAACTCGAGTGTTAATCTTAAGGCTAACTGAGGACAGCAGCACTTTGTGGCACAGTGTTATTCAACAGAACTTTCTGAAATGGAACTCTTTTACATTGTACTGTAAAGTGGCTATGCACTTGAAATATGGCTAGTCCACCTGAAGAACTGAATGTTCAATATTATTGAATTTCAATAAATTTAAACATAAATAGTCATATGTGGCCAGTGGCTACCATGTTGGACAGTGCAGCTCTACAGCAGAGTTCGCAAACTTTTTCTTAAAAGGCTAGAAGGTAAATGTTTCAGGTTCTGTGGGCCAGAGAGTTTCATACTACTGTTGTTGTTGTTGTTGTTATGTGCCGTTGAGTCAGACCTGACTCATAGCGACCCCTCCTTGGGTTTCCGAGGCAGTATCACTTCATACTACTACTCCATTGAATTCTGGGGATTGTTTACAAAATTGTTATAAGGCCCAGTGGAACAAAGGAAGGAAGAAGGCATCACCCAAAGCTCTGGGACCTACACTGTGGACAGCATTGTGGGAACAAATGCTGTGTCCTGAGCTACCATTGCTGCTGAAACTACTGGAGGCCCCATCAAAATAAAATGGCTTCTCCCACCTTTTAACCTTATAGGCAGTTTGTAACTTTATAGAAAATATGTAAATAAATAAACTGTGTTTCAAGAAATTTATTTTTAAAATAATTGGGGTCTGGATTTAGCCGGTGGGCTATAGTTGGCTGACCAAGTTCTAGAGGGAAAAGCATATGCTTTAGAACTACAAGACTTGGCGTTGAATCTTGTCTTATTAGCTCTGTGACCTTCAGCACATTTTCAACCTCTTTTTGAATTAGTTTTCTTATCAATAAGATTGTGCTTATTTCACATATTTTTTTTGAAAATGATATGAGAATGATATATACATATGTCCAGGAAATTGTCACACAATAGATAGGAAAAACGCAGTTCTTTTTCTCCCACTACATTTCTGTTCCCTAAAAATTCTTTACTATATCTTGATCAAATATCTAGATAACTTCTTTAGAATTTAGGACAAATAATAACTGAAGGTGGCATATTTTATGGGTATGTCTTAACCAGCTGTGATCTCTGTGAGGGTAAGAACCATATGGTGGTCCTCTCAGTAAATTTAATCCCTAGCATTTGTGTTACATATAGTATGGGCACAAGGAATCTTAGTTGAAATAGTTATGTTACCTTGAGCTTGCCCAGCCAGTTAATGCATTAAATGATCCCCAAATTAAGATGCCAAGGCCTAAACCAATGGTTTTGATAATTGGGACAACAGCAATATTCCCTGTGGATGTAACACACAAAAGAAAAGTGTTATTTCTGATACAGAAAAGACATACGTAAATGGAACTAGCTTTTAACCTAACTTCAACTGAGACTTAGCAGATTTGGACAAATTTAGTACTTTATGTATAGTTCCCCATTTTTTAAATTAAAATAAAACACATTTCTCTGGCATTAAATTCATAGTTATGATTGCAAAAGGAATTAAGCTTAGGGCAAAATCTTACAAAGAAAAACATTTAATTAGCTCCTTGCCTAACTGGGCAGACGCTCTTCATCCTTAACACAGGTCTCTGTGGACTTTTTGAAAAAGCTGCCAATGATGAAATTACTAGTAAATCTTCTTAGAGTCAAAACAGGGCAGAAGTCTTCACCTCAATATGGTCCCAGATTTTGTTCTTTCATGCTCACTGACACTTCCTCTAGATTTCTGCATTCATGGGTCACTGTTGACCAAATCTATGATGATCCTTTTCCATAATGTTCAACTACTCTGCAGGCCTGCTATTCATAAGGTTTTCAGTGGCAACTTTTTTCAGAAGTGTATGGCCCCATCCTTCTTCCCAGTCTGTCTTAGTCTGGAAGCTCTACTGAAATCTGTCTACCATGGGTGACCCTGCTGGTATTTGAAATACCAATGACATAGCTTCTAGCATCACAGCAACAAACAAGCCAGGACAGTATGGCAAACTGACCAAAGATACCATGGACTGCCAGAAGAATGAACAAATCTGTCTTGGAAGAAGTATAGCCTGAGCGTTCCTTAGAAGCGAGAATGGTCAGATTTTGTGTCTTGTATTGTGGTCATGTTCTCAGAAGTCCCTAGAGATGGAATATCATGCTTCATAAAGTGGAAGGTCAGTGAAAAAGGGGAAGACCCTCAATGAGATGGATTGACACAGTGGCTGCAATGAGGGGCTTAAACATAGCAAAGACTGTGAAGATGACACTGGACCAGGCATTGTTTTGGTCTGTTGTACATAGGGTTGCTATGAGTCAGAGTCGACTCAATGACACTGCAAACCTGCAACCTCTGCCTTCATTCCTGCAATCTTTTCTTGAAACATTTCTTCTCCCAGCTTCCAGGATGCCTTCATGTCTTGTTTCTTTCATCAGCTCTTTCTCTGGCTACTCTTCCTCATCATACCTTCTGAATTTAAGTGTCCCCTAAAGATCTACCTTTGAATGTATTCCTCCTGTTGGTATATTCTTCTTTGTGTACTTTACCTGAATTCAGCTGTCAGCACATGCTCCTAGTGCCATAGCTCTAACCTGGACCTTTAGAGTTTTGGTGCTAAGCTCCAAACCACAGGTAAGACATCTCTAACCACATGTCCTACAATGTAGGAACTTCAGAAACTTCAAGTGCAGAAAGTTCCAAGCTGAACCCATCATTTTCTCTTTCAAAAATATTCTTTTTTCTATTTTCTTCAAACATGTTAATGATACCACCATCTCCTAATCACCTAGAAAGAAACCCTACATCATCATCATTGGACCCTCCTTTTCCTCTATTCCCCATATCCAATCAGGTGCAAATTACCTGCAGCTTCCACATCTGCATCATTTCTCTAATTATACCCCTTTCACCTCTCAATCCTGTTGGGTGAGTATAAATACTCTGGTGGGTTTAAGGAACTCCTAGGTGAATGAATGCTTTAGTGCTTCTCCCCACAATACACGATAAACATACCAAGATATAAATGAAATATAATAATTTAAATTGTATTGAAAATGTAAAAGCTTAACTCTTAGTTCTGTCCTCCAACTCACGAATTCCACTAAGTCATTTAATCTCTTAGAGATTCGAAGTAAATGAGTTTGCAATAAGTAACCTTAAAATTTATTTGGTTTTAACCAAGTTATCTTGAAAGATCCTTGATACATGGAAATTCTTTTGGCTTAAGAAAGAAAGCTTTCCTGGGACTGTATTTACATTAATGGAAGGAAAATATTCTTGACTGGTCAAGCCAAAGGCCTGCATTTTAGTTATATAATCTCAGGCAACAGAGGGAATTTTTTTGTTTTTCTGCTAACCAATATTTTTGATATGATAACATATCAATGTTTGCCTTCTTTTAGAGCAAGTTATGAAAATGGTATTAGTAGAGACTATCGAATTTTAATAAATATGTTTTAATAAACATGCTTTAGAAAGAAAGTCTAAATCATTTAATATATCAGTTATACTGGAATAGATACAGAGTAATTGAAACATTTTCACTGGGATAATTTACTGCTAGGGACTTAGCAGGAAAGTATTAAGAGGAGAGAGTTCAAAAATGCACCAACAATTTATATTGAACATCTAAAAGAAAGAAATATTAATCTTTAGTATCTATGAATAAGGATTCACAATTACTGTTTGTGCTATTTCTATTGTGAATGAGAGCTATTTTGATTATAGTGTTAAATGACTAAAGAATAAGGTATATCATACATTACCTGTTGCCCAAATGCAGCCCCCAAGCATTGCAAAAGGCCAGAATTTTGGACAATGTAATATCAGATTGGCCACCAAGGCAACCAACCATATTGCAGCACAAAGAACCCACTGGAGAAACATTCCTGGAAATGAAAGAATTAGGTATCAGTGGTCCACATTGATTTAATTAATTCAATACTGAGGAGCATTAAGTGACAGGTTATTTTAAAAATGGCCACAATTGACTGAATGCCTATATGTCAGGTATTTGACACATTTCATTTAATTCTGACAAGTGCTTTGTAACATAGTTATCTCTTACAGGAAGACAGAAGAACTATCTGAGAGAGATTAAGCAACTTGTCCAACTAGCTTATAGTTTATAGAAGTGAAATTGAAATCCATGTTGTTTGATTCTAAAGCCTACTATACATGGTTTGTATAAAATAAAACATTATTTTTTGTCACCTATTAGGCATATTCTCTGGTAGTGTAGTGCCTAAGGCACTTGACTGCTAACCAGAAGGCTGGCTGTTCAAACCCACCAGCCACTCTTAGGAAGGAAGATGGGGCAATCTACTTCTGTAGTGATACTGCCTCGGAAAGCCAAGGAGGGGTCGCTAGGAGTCGGGTTTGACTCGACAGCACATAACAACAACAACAACGTTGTTATGTGCCATCGAGTCGGACCCGACTCCTAGCGACCCCTCCTTGGGTTTCCGAGGCAGTATCACTACGGAAGTAGGATTGCCCCACCTTCCTTCCGAGGAGTGGCTGGTGGGTTTGAACCGCCAGCCGTCTGGTTAGCAGGCAAGTGTCTTAGCCACTATGCTACAACAACATTAGGCAAATTAATTTTTTTTTAATCGAGGAGATGTTAGCAAGACTTAATATTTTCATTTGGATGCTTCATTTAGTGCCATCCACCACCAATGTCATGGCATTGTGAACTTCAGGATAGCCTAATAGTAATTGAAACCTTTAGGGATTGTTTATGCTGTATCTGGAATGAAAACTAAGTTATTTATGGTCACATGTAGACCTCCTACTATTAGAGTTCCATGCCTGCCACGAACTAGACATAAAGCTGAGGATTAGCCTCATTGCTGTTGTTGTTATGTGTCGTGGAGTTGGATCTGACCCATAGTAACCCTTCTTTGGATTTCCGAGGTGGTATCACTACAGAAGTAGATTGCCCAACCTTTCTTCTGATGAGTTGCTGGTGGGTTTGACCTGCCAGCCTTCTGGTTAGCAGTCAAGTGCCTTAGACACTACACTACCAGAGCTCCTGATTAGCTTCATAGGTCAAGGTTACTTTATTTCTATGTTCTGGGCTGCTGTTTGTCAGTTATCTGAAAATCACCTGGTGACAGGAGATATATCGTACCTTTCTGAAACTTGTGTACCTAGGCAGTTGTAACTCAACATAGCCCTCTGACTGTCACTTTGGAAGATTTTTGCCTATTTCAATTCAATCTCACAATGGAGGAGAGAGAAAAATCAGTTGTTAACCCCTAACGACAAAAAAGTAAGATCATAAAGGTGAAATGAAACTTCATTTTGCAATTTCTTTGTTTTACCAATGAGAAACTGAAAGAAGAATAGCTGATAAGACTTGCCCAGGATCACGTAATGACTATGAAAGACCTAAAAGCTATCCCTCTAACACACAGTATGATTTTTGTTGTGCTTCTAATAGTTTCTATTTATCTCACAACTCCAAAGGAAAAGAAAAAATAAAAATGGGATCTAGGGGGAACGATTTACCATCTTTATGTCTAAGTAATCTCAAAACATAAGGAACTGGGGAGATGAAACAAACTGTTATCAGGTAGTTACTTCCCAACAGGTGTTCATCTCTAATTCCTTCCCCTGGCTTTGATATGGAAGGCAGGTAGATGTAAGTAATACTGGCTTCTTCTTCCCTAAAATTCACATTACAGTCAGTTCTGCTATAATGTGACATTTGCATTCCTAAAAGTTTTATGCAAAATTGTGTAATAAAAAACACAGGGCTTGTGGGGAAAATAAGGTCAGGGGAAACACTCAAAATTTTATCAGTGATACACTGAGTAAAAAAAAGAGAATCTTAATAAAAATGGCAGCAAAGTTATATGCAGATTAAAAAGTTAAAAAATTAATAAGTATTTCAATAAATAATATTTTTTAACTTGAGTAAGACTTGAAGTTTGCTTCTGTAAGTGGGCATTGGAAGGGTTGCAGCTTGTGAGTTATTATGAAATTGGAGGATAAAGGGTTATAACCAGATGTGGATGAGTGACTGAGCAGGTAGATGTTTGAGGTGTGTGTGTGTTGTGTGTGTATGCACACGTGCATGTGTGCAAGGATGTGTGTCTTGTGTATTGCACATTTTTATTCATTTAGGTTCAATTTTGTATGTTCATCTAGTGTTTTCTTGGGGATAAAACTGCACATAAGCAAACACAAAATTCACCTTGTGCTCAGATCATTCGCTAATGTATCAATCATGTTGGAAATTCATGTTCTCAAAACAGATGGTATAGTAGAACTGACTGTATCTTCTTTTGCAAACATAACAGATATAGCTGAAAAACTTTCCTGACCGTACCCAAGCTAGTTTTACCATGAAGCACAATCATAAGTGTTATCCTATACTAATTTCTCAGATGAAGTGGCATAAGCATTATCAGTAAATTTATTATAAACTATATTCTTTTAGGCACTGGGATCAACAAAATTTACTTCTGTAGCTGCCATTTTAAAGAGATCAAAACACAAAGCCTTACATTCAAAAATAATTTAAAGTTAACAAAGAAGGAAAAAATCATTACCATCACCAGTATCATATTTTTTAAGTGGTACAAAGTTTGAGCCAAACAAAAGGATAGATACAGAAGAGGAGATGAATCCAATGGTTAGGTCTGTTCCATTATTGCTCATGGTGCCAGTAACGCCAGAGAACAAGCTCCTTCGCTTTAGACTGCATACACCTTTCCAAGAGCTTCTGAAATATAAGAAATAAAAATGCAACAATAAAAAAGTAGAGAATCTGTGAACAAATTGTGATTCTTATATTTACTGACTTTTTTAAAAGTATGATAAGATTCCTTCTTGCAGATAAAAAGGACATTTTGAAATTATGTATTATTTTCACACTACATGTTCATGCATTCATTTATGCTATCCCAAAATATTTTTAACACGACCTACACTTTTTTTTTTAACTTTGCCTTCAGAGCTTGAACGTCTAACTTATTCCAAAATTTGGATATGAATTTTATTATAAGAAACGTCTCCTAGCATAATGAAAGACTTCTGGACTCAGATTTTCTTTCCCTCAGTAGATTTTTCTGAGAAGCAAATAAGAGAGGATCTGGGAAAAGACTTCCAGAACTATAAAATGCCTCACAAGCAAAAGCTTTTGTTACATTTCAGACAGGTGTTCAAAGGGCATATTTTGGTGGTTTTGCTGCTACATTCTCAGGGTCCCCTTGAGGTAAAGGCAATTTTCTTCATCAGCACTACTCTCACATTGTGCTAGTTTAAATAGCTTATAAATCCTTACATCTTATTGACCTTTGGAAAAGCTGAACAGATAGGAGAAATGCTGCAATAATCTCCTACAGCATAAAATCAGGAGTGTCGTGTTGCACAATTCTATAAGCCAGCAGAGTAAAGCAGTGCAAGTAGTCAGCAATCTGTGCTAGCAATATGGTAGCCACTAGCCCTATTTTCATTAAAATTAAAGAAAAAGTTCTGTTCCTCAGTCACACCAGTCACATTTTCAGGTGTTCCAATAGACACAGGTGGCTAGCAGCTACTATACTGGATAGCACAACTATAGACATTTCCATCACTGCAGCAAATTCTATTGAACAGTGCTGCTAGACTTAATGAAATGGTCTCCTTCCCCTATGAAGAAAAGGACCAGAACCTCAAATAGCCAAGACATTTGTCACATGGTAACATTCGGAAAAGGTCATTGAACACAATTTACCTTTTTAGCTGCAGCAGTCATATAAGAAACTAATAATACAGAAGAGTCATTTTATCGCAGAAGATAACCAGAGGCTCCTCACAATACCATCTTGAGTTCATATATTGCATGTTGACCTTCTGGTTTACTTCACCTTTTAAGCCCTCTGGAATGGAATTTAGGATAATCCTCTTCCCCCACTCCAAATTTAATGATGTAGGGATAGCATCTATGGATATGTACTGAACAATAATAAAAAGTTGCTGTCGGGTCATTCTGACTCATGGAAACCTCACGTGTGTGTCAGAGGAGAACTCTACTTTTCAGGATCTATTTCCACTGGCTATGATCTTGTGGAAGTAGACTGCCAGGCTTTTTTCTGCACTGCAACTGGGTGAATTCTAACTGCCAACCTTTCAGTTAGTTGCTGAGTGAAAACCATTCGTGCCACCCAGGGACCATACATGTACTAAATAAAGTGCACCTGAAAGCACCTTTCCTTGTTATTTTACTTTCCAGTGATAAGTATTTATTTTAAGGTATTTTATTTTTCATGTATTAGTCCTTATGCACTCTTACAGAGATTAATAAATACATAACTACCTATAAAATATGTTATTTGGCATTATTATGAGTAATTTAACTCAAAATAGGGATAGTTTCAAAATTAGTCAACAAATTTTAGTAAGGAAAATCTCTATTTGAAATTGTGTGTACTTTCAAAAAATGCTGGTGAAGGTGAAAAAACATCATTCATGGATATGAAGTTAAGGAAAAGAGACACTGAAGTATATTTAAATATTGACACAGTACGTTATTTCAATTTTTTTAAAAATAGCAATTTTATTGTTAACCAGCCTCTTTGCCTAGTCTATCCATATGTTGTTGTTGTTTTTTGCCGTGGAGTCGGCCCCGACTCATAGCGACCCCTCCTTGGGTTTCTGAGGCAGTATCACTACGGAAGTAGGATTGCCCAACCTTCCTCCCGGGGAGTGGCTGGTGGGTATAGTCTATCCTAATTCATAGCATAGCGACCACCTTTGGGTTTCCAAGGCAGCGTAGAGCCTAAGGCACTTGACTGCTAACCAGAAGGCTGGCGGTTCAAACCCACCAGCCACTCCTTGGAAGGAAGGTTGGACAGTTTACTTTCCTAGAGATGTTGTTGTTGTTATTTGCCATCGAGTGGAACCCGACTCATGGCGACCGCTCCTTGGGTTTCCGAGGCAGTATCACTATGGAAGTAGATTGCCCCATCTTCCTTCCGAGGAGTGACTGGTGGGTTTCAACCGCCAGCCTTCTGGTTAACAGTCAAATATCTTAGCCACTACACCAGAGCTCCTACAATACTGCCTCGGAAACCCAAGGAGGGGTCGCTATGAGTCGGATCCCACTCGAAGGCAGTGCCTTTCTCTTCATTTTCTTTTTTTTCCTTTCTTCTGCGGAGTGGATGGTTGGTTTGGACTGTCAACCTGGTTAGCAGTCAAATGCCTTAGGCCATTTGCCACCAGATCTCCTTATTTTCGTGTTAACCAAAACCAAACCAAACTCACTGCCAGCTAGTCAATCTGACTCAACATTTTACTGTTAGGCTCAGCATTTTAGTGTTAGGCTTGAAGAAATGTTTAGCGCTGCAGTGGCTGCCTGGACTATTGCTTGAAGATCTAGAAAAGCTATCTAGGGATAAGCAGGTAGATTGCTGTTAACATACTGGAGCTGTTCAAAGGCACAGAAGATATTTGAGAAGGATATTATGGGACTAAAAAGACACATGATTAGATGTCAGCTAAGAGAACATTTTTTTTTTCCCCTTTTAATTTAAAACAAGCAAACAAAGCAAAGTAAAACCTGTATAAGCACATTGGTATGAGAATGCCTAAACCTTAAAAGTGATAAATTACTTTGGTGAAAAGATGAATAAACTAAAGAAAAATGACCACAAATCCAAACCCACTGTCATGGAGTCTATTCTGACCAATAGTGACCCTAGAGGAGAGAGTAGAACTGCTCTGTAGGGTTTCCAAGGCTGTAAATCCTTACGGTAGTAGATTGTCTCCTCTTTCTTCTATAACCACCAACCTTCTGGCTGGCAGCCAAATGCCTTCACCACTGGGCCACCAGAACTGCTAAAGAATATTGACAGATAGCCCTAAACCTCTTAGATGTCATGCTAGACTAAAAGAATAATTTGAAGTACTAACCAGAGCGCATGAACTGCATTCTGATCACTTCATGACCATCATCAGTGTTAATTTACTTAGTTATTACCTGTAGATAAATGAGACTGCTAACCAGAAGGCTGGTGGTTCAAACCCACCAGCCACTCTTCGGAAGGAAGATGGGGCAATCTACTTCCATAGTGATACTGCCTCGGAAACCCAAGGAGGGGTCGCTAGGAGTCGGTCCAACTCGTCGGCATAACAACAACGTAGATAAATGAAGTCTATTGTATACAGCGCTTGTACATTTCAGAAAACACGCGATCTAATTTCAATGTGGACTGACAATGACAATATTTTCTATCTTTAAGAAGAGTCCACCTCTTTCCTAATCAATGAAATTTTTGTGGAAAAGGAAAAAAATAAATCATTATCTAGCACATTACCCTCAATTCTTTTTAGAGCAAACCTGTTAACATGTCTTAAACTACTTTCAGGTAAAACCAAACATTATTTTAATGTTTACTTTTCTTTAATAAACTACATTCCTTTTTATTTTACTGCTTTAGTTTCATTTATTGGTAAGTATTTTTCCTCTATAGAATTTTCCCAGCAATATAAACACATGCAGATTCTGATCACTACTGCTTGTTCTACTCCAACTAAGATTTCATTTTTAGTTTCATGTTAAATTCCTCAAATCTCCCAGCAAGCCCTGTCCGCCTCTTGGTTAAAATAACCAATGCTTGAATGTGTTTATTCGGAGTCCTGATTTTTCGTTTTAACCATGGACACGTTTTGAAAAACCCTGACACCCCACCCCCGCCAAGCTTCTTGGCTTGCTTCTGAGCTTTTGTACTCACCGAGCTTCTGGCTGACGGCGGAAACTCAGCCCTAGCTCAGCTTCCGCGCGATCCGCCTCCAAAGCGCCGTGGGGCAGGCGCCTTGCTCATTACCTGTGCTCCTCCGGGCGGCCACGCCAGCCTTTACTTCTTGCCTAGACAATTATTTAAAGACTGGGCGGCAGGAGAGCGGAAGGCTTTAGTACCCAAGGTCAGCAGGTTAAGAAATACCTTCCGTCAGTAAGCGTCAGCTATATTGTCATGTGACTCAAATGAGGCCTCCCTAGGACCTTTGTCAGTCAACCAGCAATCTAGAAAGGCTTTTGTGCGTTTTAAGAGATAATTGTTCCGGGAACAGGGAGCATGTCACCCTCTCTAAATGTCCCAGAGGTAGTTTTTACTGTTTATGTACAAAAGTCTGAGGAACTTCACACAGTTGTAGAACATATTATAAAGCTGATTTTTTTCTACTGATTATTAAGAAATTCATCTGAACCACTGATGTCACGAACATCTCTTGTGACTTCACAAGTTTTGATGGTGTAGTGCCTAAGGCATCTGACTGCTAAACAAAGGTTGATGGTTGAAACCCACCAGCCACTCCACCGAAGAAAGACTGGGCAATCTAGTTCCATAAAGAGTT